AAACCAATATGGACACTTTCGAACGACAAGAGTGTCAGATACTCTGTGAAAACAGCATAATGCTGTATTGTTGCGATCCTCATTATGACTTGTGTTTTACTATAGCAAGTTTACCTTTTTTAAAATTGCATGGGACGTGTTGTCATTTTAGTTTAGTTTATAAATAATCCGTCTGAGCGAAGGAATTGTGTTTATATAAATATTCCCAATAACAAGGCTCTTCTTTCTAAGTTGGATGGCGTTAAATCTCCGTGTATCATCAACGACAACGTGAAAACAAGCGCAGTATTTAAGGTTGGTATACTACAATGCATTACAGTTATCTTGTTATTTAGTCAAATTTCCGCTTTGTTGTTTTTATTCTTGTACTGTTCTGTACTGTAATTTCATAAATACACTGTACGAAATTATAGCATAATAATTGTTTTTATTGCCTCTAGTTTGACCCTATTGTGTGTGTGTCTATGTACTGTGTCACTGTGATATATTATGTGCATATTTTGAGTCAAACAAATTGTTTAATAAATTTTTGCTGAAGTATGATGCCTGTTTGTATCTAGTTGTGGACAATAGATTTTTACATATATGTGCATACAGTAGTTACCGGGTATATATTTTTCAATTTTCATCTGTAAATAATATTGCCATATTTGTGTGTTGTTCTAATATTACTGTAAATAGTTACATACTTTTGCATTAGATAGCTAATTTTAGAGATTACAGTGTATGTATAAAATAATAAAATAAACATTTTCTTGTTATGATTTTGTAGAAAGAGATCTATTTGAGTGGTTGGCTGGTCTTGAACCTGGTCATGTAATGAAGGTGATAGGGCAGAAAGTGGTAATGAAGGTGATAGGGCAGAAAGTGGTGACCAGTTAAGTGATGAGGATGAAAGTGACGAGGACGAAATCACCCATGCTGTACCATTCAAGTGCATCGGTGCTGCTCATGAGAAAATCTACCAACATCATTTTGGAGCAGGCATACCTTGCTCTTCATTGACCAGAGCAATTGAATTCAATGGACCCAAGTGCAATTGATCTAGACTATGGAACAGGATGGACACATGTTGGTTATATTGCTCCTGAACTATGCGAGTATTTGTATCCACTAATTGCCGCAGGAGATATCTTAGAGGTCTATGTTCAGCATATCAAGTATAGGGTTGAGTTTTTTAAAATAAGATTTTATCCAAAAATTTCATAAAGCGACGTGGTGAGTGAGAGACTCAAGTGGTAAGGAAGAGCATGAGTGTACGTTGACAGATGTTTGTGATATAATAGCAACTGACTAGGTTTAGCAAGTTATAGAAATGCTGTTATTTCAATTGGCCAACTTTTTAGATTCTTTTTCAGCATTTTTAAATTAAACAAAAAGTAGGTTAATCACAAGCGGGTGCAATTAAAACAATGTCTGTCATGCACACTCGTGCAATTAAGTACATAATTGTAACATGTGCTGTACTAAATGAATAAATAAAATAGTTTATACATTCACTTTACCAACTTTGTTAGTAAACTTTCATTAAAATTAATGCAACAATAAAACAAAAATATGTCTATTTATATACAATAATATTGGTCAAAGGTCCCACAATAACATGCTGCTGATACTTTAATTAAGGTACATTATATGAGAATAAAAAAAACTGCATATAATGCACCTATCAATGTTAACTCCCAGAGGGGGGGGGGGGTTGGGGGGTTGCGCATATGTGGGGTATTTGATCATTAATTTCATCTCCACCCTAGGGATTCTGATTAGTCTTAGTTAACTATGGATTAGCAATTGGGCCCAAGTTAGGGCAATTTGAACCAAAATGACTTATTTTAATATAGTATTTATTGCAAAATGGTAGGGTATTTGACCAATATTTATTGCCCAACAGTGGGGCATTTGATTGAAAATTTGATCAAAAAATTAAATGCGCCACATATGTCCGACCCCCCTCCTTGGGGCTTAATATTGATAGGTGCATAAGAAGAACCACCATTTCTCAAACTTTATCTGAATTAGTTGTGTAACAGCATTTATACAAAATACTGTTAAAAAAGGCCAAGTGGGCCTTCACTGCTATAAAGGGCATTCTATCCAATGGCATTATAGGACCAACATCTCCATGGCGTTGTTCTCCAAAGCATCGAGCAGCGTTATAAATCAGATTGTCTTTTTACCGGCATGAAGTACAGACATAGCCGTGGCAACAAGTGGGATGAGGGACAAATTTAAATCTAAACGTAACCAGGATTAAGTTTTACCAGCCATTTTTTAAACAGGTGGATGAGTAGTTGTTCTTATTGTCGCTGGGTTAGTTTTGAAAATCCACAAGTCATGTCAAGTCATCATATAAGTAACATTACCAGAAAGGTGAACAAGTTTAGAACAATAGCGATTGATACACCGGGTGGAAAGCGTAATTTAAAAATGAAAATTAAAGCCCAGCAAATGACTTTCAGACAAGACATAACAAAATATAAAATTTATTGGCTAACGTTTCGTTGTATTGTTCACAACATCTTCAGAGCAATTATACTTGAGCAATTAAGTTTAGAACACCAAATTTAATGATGATGCTTAATTCTTGCAGACGAAATCATTGACAAAAATGGAATCCACTATCCAAAATCACGAATCTCAAATCTAAAACATCAGCCAAACAATTTAATTATTTACATACTTTAACCAATATATATATATAAATCCATAATATATCGAAACTTCTATAGTATATCAAATTTCTTTAGAAAAAAGATAGTAATAGCAGTTTATTATCGATCTGAGTGACAAGGCAGCATATTTTACAAAGGGCTATATTCAACGGTGAATATCTCGAAAACGGTTGAGAGGCCGAGGGGGGCAGGCTGGATAGAATTAAAGATTGTACTATCATTTAACTATTCGTGAAAAAAATATCGAAATCGAACCATGGAGATTTGAGATTTTTGTCTTCAAAGATTGTTGACAGAAACGCCATTAAATTACATTGCGACGGCATAGCACCTAAATGAGAGGTCAAAATAAACTGGAAAATGACGCTTACCTTTTAAGATACCGTTCCAATGGGTAGCTTGACTGTTGTAAAAGTAGTATCGCGTGAAATTTCCCAAAAAATTTGCATAACAATATGAAAAAAATCGATATTTATGAGCCCTATGTAAATTTTCGATGCCAAAAGCTTCGTGCGAGCATGAGGAAAATGGCTCAATCTGATTGGTCGAGATGTTCGCCTAATTGGCTGTCCAACCTCCTCTGCACAGTACTGTCAATGCAGGACTAAATTTTTGAATCCCCAATCTCAATCTCTACACTAGATAGCACGGATGTATTTGCCTGAAATGTTTGTAATTATTGTTAAACATTAAGACCAACTGAAGAAATGCGTGGAATTTATCTGCACATTTTTAACCTTGCTTTCTACTAAAGAGTAGAACACGTTAACATTAACAGTTATTTTTTAAATTTAACAGATTACGTCGATGGCAGCCAGGTGGGAAAATGTTCTACAAGGTTATGATGTGAATCGTTTCGTGGGTGAAGTGAAAGAAGATCTGCTCTGTACAATTTGTCAAGATGTGCCACAGGACCCTCGGTTGTGTCAGCATAAAGACCATATATTTTGCTTCGGTCATATATCGCGACATCTTCACTAAAATTCTCACACATGCCCAGTTTGCAGAGACCGCCTGACTCCAGAGACCCTGAGACGTCCAACAGGATTTATGAAGAATTATTTAGAAGATCTGAAAATCAAGTGTGACCACCTCGATCGTGGCTGTCCTGACGTTGTCCGCCTTGAAGACCTTCAAAGACATGTCAATCAATGTGGATTCGCGCCCGTCATTTGTGGAAATGAAAGATGTGGGACGGAAGTCAATGGAAATGACAAGGAAATCCACGAAAGATATCACTGCCAATTTAGAATCGCCAAATGTCTCGATTGCAGAGATGTTAAAGCAAGTCAAAATGGAATGAAAGGTCAGATCACGCGTATGGACGAAGAAATAAAGGTAAGATCAGATTTTCTTCGTTCCTTGGCGAGCATTAAAATTGTTTTTGTAAATCTACTTTTGCGCAGAAATTTTACAAGATATTCATTCACAGACAGTAAGTCAGTGTATTACCCATGGTTTGTCAAAATATATACAGTGTCATTTCTGAGATAATATTTAAAACTAATACTGTAATTCAGGAATCCCACGCTGAAATTAAAGCTCAGAACAAGGAAATAGAAAGGAAACAAGATGAAGTGAAGGTAAGATATTCTTTTTCACTACCTGCTGTACAGGTTGTCAAAAGTCTACAGTATAAACAGTATATATATGTTATTTACCGGCTGCGAGGTCCGGATGAGAAAAACTGTGCCCTCGGTCTTGAAAACGGCCCGAGCCCGAAAGTGTTTATTTTTTATCTGCAGATGTAAAAAGTAAAAATTAAATTCATTGAAATTCCAGTGTTGCTTGCGAACTAATTTGAGATCAGTGCAGTTGTGTATTTTCAAAGTGAGGCTGACACAAATTGAAAATTTGAAAGATATAAAACACGAATACGAAAACTCGAGAAAACTGTTAAGAAACACACAAAAAGACGTATAGTTTCAGTAAAAATGTACATGCTTTTTCATGAATATAGTAGCAGAGAAGCTTTGGAATAAAAAATTTTATGCCTGGCGTTTTGGGTTTGACAAATTCAGTTGCTCCTGACAAGTTGACAAGGACAGGTTCATGTTCAGAGCCGATCAAAAACATATAAAAATGAATCTGTTTTGATTTAATCAACGTTTTTCTACTAAAAGGAAAATGAAAAAGGTATGCTATTTTTATATTGTTCTATTTTTTCCTGTCGTTTCACGATAATATGCTTGAAACAAGTGTTTAAAAAACACGAACTTTTACACTGTTTACAATATTTATATCAGTGAAAAATGCATGACACAATTCACAAATGGGTAGATCTAGAGAATATATTCGTGACTTGTTTTCACTGCTGCAGTTAAACCTTCTTTTAAATGGGAAAACATTTATTTTACAATATGTGTTTAAGCTGTAATTTTTTCTCTTTTAAGTGGCCGAATACATGAGCATTTAAAAAATATATAGTTTTCTCGAGGTACGTATAAGTTTTATACATGTCAAATAACTTTCCGACTTTCAGTCGCATTTCTATCAAAATATTGTCAATTCTGGCGTACATCGTGCTAAGTATGAAGTCTTTAGGGCTTGGTGCAATTCATTTTCGTATTCTGACTATCGTTAGGCTATGTTTTTCAAAAGTTTTGGGCAGATTTTTTCGTTTTAAAATTGTTTGACTTCTCGGTTTTTGGCGCGAAAACCAGAGCGGGCAGTTGCATTTCACAGCGGGCAGTTGCGTTTCAGAGCGGGCCGGATGCAAAAAACCGGCCCGCTCTGAAAGGCTCCACAGCCAATCAGATTGCTCCATTTTCACTGATAAAAAATAACATATATTAGCACTAGTGTTGTGATTTTTCATGCATATTGCCGAAAGTAGAATTAAACGGATAAAAGATAAAACCTATTAGGCATACCGAAATTGATGGGTGGACTGGGGACGAGTGTTAAAAGTGCTCAAATTAACAGGTAGGCAATTTGTCTGAGCATGCGCGCAGAAAATCAACATGGCGGACATATATTAGGAGTGTTTCGTGAATTTATCTGGTTTTAAAGCTGATAAAACAACATTTTAATGAACGAAAACTTTGTAATATTTAGTGGAAAACATTAAGCTGTGCATTCCAAAGGTTTTAAATTAAAAATAAGTACTTTTGCTTTATTTTATTGCTTTTTATGCTTTGAAAACAGGCAAGCTCATATTTTTTGAAAAAAAATGGTACACATTTTAACAAAGAATAAAATTAAAATACATGCATATCAAAAACAATGGTTTTTATTAGAACAACACACAATAAGTTGTTATTTTCTATTTTTACAAAAAACAAGTTTGAAAACAGGATCTAGTCCTCCAGCTTGATATCATATTCCAATTATTTGGATATTTGAATAAAGAAATGTGAAATAATAATTGAAACTTGTCCAAAATGTGACACCAACACTCGAGTGAACAGATACTATCACCTAAAAATAAAAGAAAACAGAACTTAAATTTATCATCTAATGCTATGAAAAAATCTTAGATATTACAAGCATATAGTGAACACAACTCTTTAACAAACTCACTAAAATAAGTTAAGTTATGCTACGATAAGAGGATGGCAATATATGACAACATCAAATGTTACCATCTTCGGTGTCCAGAACAAGTGCCGCGCGCATTTTTCATGGTCGCATAACTGGCATTGCCACAAACCCAGGTGAAATTTTGGGTGATGAGCATAGTCAAATTCTCGACTTATTCAATTTTCTAAGTTATTCCAGGTAAACAGATTCAACATTGAAATAAGCCCCATTCGGGACCTTATAGAATCCAAAATATTGTGTATGGACCAGATTTTTTTCAATTTTCTGTGATTTACATAACACTAGTTATAATTTAAGGGTCAACCAGTATTGTTCAAGACATATTTTCCTTCCAGAACACCTTTTCAAAATACTAACCCAAGCATGTCAAAAATAGTGTACATTTACAAGGGCAATTTCAACCCTTTGGCACATTTTTCCCATGAATGATTTTAATTCTAATATAAAGACTATAGATAAAAATTTGATTTAAAGCTAGTTTCAAGTGATGAGCATACCCTAAATTTTAAGCTATACCTCAAAGAAGATGGGTCATTTCAACATAAACATTGAGATGTGGGTATACTGACAGCTCTGTCACACGTGTAGCTTAACACTAGCAGACCTTCTGAAACATTTTAATGAAAGTATAATTCACAAAGTTCACATTTTCACTTACTTCTTAACATCTGTTTTAATCCAACTAGCTCTGTAGGCACGAGCAAAATTTAGTGTTGATGTAAATATCCATTTTGTTCATGTTTCCCCGGTGAAAATATAGTCTATTCCAAAGCTGATTTCGACGTACTTTAGCTTTTCAGAAACCGTTGGCCTTCCTCAGTAAGATTATCAACAGTTTCACAAACATATTTGATGGTAAACAGATAAAATATTCTCCGAAAGTCTATATTTTTGCTCTTCGATGCGAAAATGGAAACTCAAGAAGAAATGAGCCGCTATTTTTGGTCAGCATCGACAAATTGCCTACCTGTTGCTCAAATTAAGAAGCGAAACCAAGTCACTAAAAAGGCCACCTCAAAAATAGTAAGTACACAAAGTTTGAAGACGTTTACATGAATATCCTATGAATAATAAGCTTCCGAAAAATCGCGATATTTACTATGAAATGTATTGTAATTTTTGTTTTTGGGACGCGTGTCCCCAAAACAATCTTTTAATCAGTAATTTCACAATTTTCGAAAGCTTATTATTCGATGGGTATTCATGTAAACGTCTTCAAACTTTGCATACTTACTAATTTTGAGGTGGTCTTTTTAGTTATTTGGTTCATTTCTTAATTTGGGCACTTTTTAACACTCGTTCCCAGTCCTCTCATTACCTTCGGAATGGCTAATTGTCGAAAAGATATACCTAAAGTTATTTATTAGGACGAGATGAAAGTAGAATTGAAAGGAATGAGAGATACAATCGCTGGAATGGAAAGAAAGCAAGATCGAATGAGGGTAAGACAATATTATTTTAATTCTTCGCAGCTATGCATGGAAATGGAATTGGATTGTTATGTGTACTGTTCGCGATGACAATTAATGGATTATTTGAAACCTGTGATCAATTAGGAAAACTGAATTATTTTTGTTATGAAAACTGAAAATCTATTAGGAAAACCGAAGGGTGTTTGTGGTTGGAAATTAGGAACTGAAGATTATATACTATTTTGGACCTAGCCAAGAACTGCGAAAATGCAACTATATAGGCCCTCTATATGTTTTACAAAAAGTCTTCAACTGCATGTTAGTTCTATCCAGCGAGATGCCAAAATCCCGATATTTGCCCATACCTTATCCTGGCATCATTCACGCTATATATGCAGGAACTTGTGGTTAGACCTTGACAACTGCACTGTGTAGTTGGTAAGAGCGTTGCACTGCATTTCACATGCAGGGCCGCAGGTTCGATTCCTGCCGAACTAAAGACCCATATTTGCATTTTTCGCAACTGCTTCTGCTTAAATCTAAGATTGTATATAATCTTTTGCTCGTAATTTAAATTTACAAACCCCTTCAACCGTTAGTTCTACCGAGAAAGATGCCCAAAAATCTCGATATTTATCACAAGTGCTGCAGTTAAGTTGAGAGTTTTTCACACGTCCGCGTATACGCACTTCAATACAGTTCAATGGCATATTGTAAGAATATAAATATCTGAACCAGAGGCAGAACAGAAACGTACGCGTGAAATGAAAATGCGTCCGAACCCCGAGAGAACAAAAGAGCAAATATGTCAAAGCATATATACGATCATACGTGTTCATTGCTTGATTTCCTGACTTGTCTGTTGCTATAAGAATCTACAGTTTAACATGTTTCTATAATTTAAAAGCAAATAGAAAGCAAATTTAGTAAGCATTTGAAGTCCTTGCAATCGAAGTGCGAAGTGCGGAGTGGAAACATGTTATATGAGACTTTTCCCTCCCCCTCTTAAGCGATCAATTTTCAATGGGTTAGGTGATATTCATTCACAGTCAGTAAGTCAGGAATTCCACGATGAAATGCGTTCAGTATATTACCCATGGTTTGTCAAAATGTATACAGTGTCATCTCTGAGATAACATTTCAAACTAATACTGTAATTCAGGAATCCCACGCTGAAATGAAAGCTCAGAACAAGGAAATAGAAAGGAAGCAAGATGAAGTGAAGGTAAGATATTTATCACTTATTTACTGAGACCGAGCGAAACAGTGTGTTTTGTGGACCCGTGACCGGTCGAGGGTCCACAAAACACACTGCTTTCCCGAGGTCTCAGTAAATAAATGTTTTATTATATATCAATAGTCAAAGAAACAACAAATTAAAGAACAAATGAACGTAAATACATGAAATATTTTATTGTTAAAACGTTATATTAAACACTGGCTACACTGCAGTTACTTAAAGCGAAAGTTTTAATTACGTACTAGGCATGTCCAAAGGTCGCATCTTCACGTGATGGCGCACGTGATTTTTTTTTATTAGCCGGTCGATAACGTCTTATCTCCCTCTCGCGCTGTTGCGAGGGAGACAGCCTAATTTCGTCACTCTCACGTGATATGCTCTCGACCAATAAAACACTAGAAAAATGCGACTTTGACTATTGATATATAATAATCTTATTTACTACCTGCTGTACGGGTTGTCAAAAAGTCTACAGTATAAATAGTATCATATATTAACACTAGTGTTGTGATTTTTCATGCATATTGCCGAAAGTATAATTAAACGGAATAAAAGATAAAACCTAAGGTTAAAGTTATTTATTTACATATAGGACGAGATGAAAGTAGAATTGAAAGGAATGAGAGATAAAATCGCTGGAATAGAAAGAAAGCAAGATCGAATGAAGGTAAGACGATATTATTTTAGTTCTTTGCAGCTTTGCATGGAGATGGAATTGAATTGTTTTGTATACTGTTGGCGATGACAATGGATTATTTGAAACCTGTGATCAATTGGGAAAACTGAATTATTTTTATTAGGAAAACTGAAGATCTATTAGGAAAACTGAAGGGCTTTTGTGGTTGGAAATTAGGATCTGAAGATTATATACTATTTTGGAACTATCCAAGAACTGCGACTATCTAGGCCCTCTATATGTTTTACAAAATGTCCTCAACTGCATGTTAGTTCTATCTGTCGCGAGTTTGGCATATTTAGTAATGATTTGGTTGATATTTGGTAGTTAATTGTTGTTGACATGTATTTTGGTAGGTGAAAAACGAGAACATAGTATCAGCAATAAAGTAAACTATAAACTGAACAAACGTAATCTGCCGCGTTAAGCGAATCCCGACAAAAGTGGAGACCCGGAACAGGATTCTATAAACAAGAACTATTTGGAAAAGGTATTTTTAGAGTGAAATATATCGATATTGAATGTTTATTTTATGTGACACGGAAAATATAAATTCAAGATAGCGGACGTGAAACAAATGTTAAACAAGTTCGAATCGAAGCTACGTATGCTTGAATTTACGCGAAGTGATACACCGAGAATCCAAGAGAAAAACGAACTGAAGAGTTTAGAGCGACAAGAGAAAGTATTTAGCGAGTTAATCGACAGTATTCACGAGCAGAAAGTCTTAATACAAACAGCGAAAATCGAGAAGGGTGAAAACCCAGAAGATGTTACACAATGGACACTTGAGATCGAAGAAAAGATTGCGAAGTATGAACAAGTTATAGCTGAGTTACATGGTGATGTGGAAAAGTTACAGGCGAAAGCTAGGGAAGAAGATGAACTGAGAGAAGATAATAAACGAAGACAGCGTTTCGAAGAAGAATTAAAACTCGAGGAAGCGAAAATGCAAATGAAACATGATTATGAAAAGAATCTTATGGAAGAAAGTAAATCAAGCAAAGGAAATGTTAGCCAAGTCAAGTTACCCAAACTAGTTATAACCAAGTTTCAAGGGACACCATTAGATTGGAGCCAATTTGAAACGGAAATCGACAAAGCTGAAATAACACAAGTGGCAAAATTTTCTTACCTGAAAGAGCTTCTAGTCTCTAAAGTGAGAATGAGTATAGATGGTCTTCCTTCTACATCCGAAGGCTACGAACGAGCTAAAACTATACTCAAGACGAAATATGGAAAACCGAGCGAAGTGTCGAATGCTCATGTACAGCAGAATATATCCTTGCAAACAGTGCGGGGTTCCCATTTTATGAGACCTTGGTGACAAATGTCCATGCATTGGAAACACTTGGAAAGATCAAAGAAATTAATGGCTATGTTCGTGTAACCCTCGATAAGTTACCTGATATCAGAGCTGACCTGGTACGTTTAGACGAAGATTGGCAGGACTGGGGTTTTAGTCGAATGATTGGGGCCCTGAGAAAGTGGTGTGAGCGCAACCCGGTCGGTCCAGAAGATCAAGAATATAAGTCGAAGCTTCCCAAAGATAAATCATTTCAAGCAAACCAGGGAGAATGGAAACCGAGACCTTGTGTTTATTGTGAGTCTACACAGCACAAATCAGTTGACTGTGAAACTGTAACTAGTGTCACTGAGAGGAGAAAGGTATTGAGCTCGAAGAAGTTGTGTTTCAAATGCGCTGGGACAAGACATCGGGCATCAGAGTGTCGGTGCAAAACCACTTGTCAGAAATGTAACGAAAGGCATCATACATGTATATGCAATAAAGGGACGGAGCAAATGATGGTAGCGTCAGTCAAAGGTGAAGTGATTTACCCAGTAGTTGTGGTACTTGTTGACGGAATTAAAGTCAGAGCATTGCTTGACACAGGTTCAGGAGGCTCGTATGCTTCCGCAGCTCTGATTGATCGGCTTTCAAAACGACCAACTCGAACTGAGCATAAACGGATTGATATGATGATGTGCTCAACAACACAAAAGATCGAAGTGTATAATGTGAATGCTTCTAGTATCGCTGGGAAATTTGCCATGGAAACAGAAGTCAACAAAGTGGATAAGGGAGTTCTCTTGTCAGTTCCAAATCCAAGGTATCCAGAAAAAATCAACCAGTATCCTCACCTTGAGGGAGTGGTAATGGATGATAAAGACAGCAAACTTGTTTTACCAATCCATTTGATCCTGGGTGCCGGTGAGTACTCTCGCATAAAAACAGTTACGAAGCCAAAGATTGGAAATCCAGGTGAGCCGGTTGCAGAGTTAACAGCATTTGGTTGGTCGATGATGTCCCCAGGAAAGGAAGTGAATCTTAGCAATACCTACCTTACCAGAACATCATTTGGAGAATACGAACAGTTGTGTAATTTGGATGTCCTGGGTTTAGAAGATCGAGCGCAAGGTGACCAGCAGTCGGTGTATGATGAGTTCAAGGAACAGCTTAGCCGAAGTGATGAAAGGTGGTATCAGACCGGATTGATTTGGAAACAGGGTCATGGTCCTCTTCCGAGTAATGAACATGGCAGTTTAAAACGATTAGATAATTTAGTCAAGAAACTACGAAGAGAACCTTATGAATGAATACGATGAGAACATTCAAAATCAAGTTGCTGAGGGTGTAGTTGAACGAGTAACCAGTGAACCAGTCGGGAAAGAATTCTATCTACCGCATAAGCCTGTCGTAAGGGAGTCAGCAGAATCCACCAAAACACGTATCGTGTTTGGCGCATCAGCTAAAGCCAATGACAAATGCCAATCATTGAACGAGTGTTTAGAGACAGGTCCGCCCTTGCAAAATATCCTTTGGGATGTGTTGGTGAGAAATCTGTTGAAACCTTTTGCGTTGGCTGGTAATCTCAAAAAGGCTTTTCTTCAGATCAGATGTGTTAAGGTTTCCACTGGGTCAAGGAGGAAACATCAGAGGTAGAGGTTCTCAGATTTACCAGAGCCCTGTTTCGGTTAGTGCAGTCACCATTTCTGCTTGGAGCAACGCTGAAACGACATCTAGAAAGTCTGAAGGAACGATATCCAAATGAAATCGCGGAAATCGAGAAATGTTTATATGTTGATGATGTCATCACGGGGGGAGACACTAAAGAGGAAGTGCTTGATCTGAAGGAGACCACTGTAGCAATATTCGAAGAAGCCAAGTTTGAGTTACACAAATGGCACTCCAACGAATCGGTGTTAGAAGCGAAAAGTAAGTCTGATGATGGGAAGCAAAGTTACGCGAAGGATCAGCTCGGAGTCAAAGCGGGAGAAACCAAGTTGCTGGGGCTGCCATGGAATAAAAACAAGGACACTCTATCTGTTACTTTTCCACAACCAATTGCTGAAACGACCAAGAGAGAAATGTTACGATTCTTAGTCTCGATATATGATCCACTTCGTTTAGTGTCGCCCAAAACACTTTCAGGAGAGCTGATGTATCGGCAAGTTTGTGACCAACATCTACCCTGGGATGCGAAAGTGTCCGAAAGCGTCGCAGATCAGTGGTGCAAATTCGAGAATAGCCTACCTGGTAGAGTAGAGATACCAAGAAGTATCGCATCAATTCAAGAACCGACTAAAGCGATAGATCTACATGTGTTCGGAGATACAAGTGGAGTTGGGACGTCGGCGGCAGTTTATGCAGTTGACCACCAAGAGTCGAGAGTTAACCAGGGCATGCTGACAGCGAAGTCCCGTTTAGCGAAGAAAGGCTTGTCTATTCCGAGGCTAGAGCTAGTTTCAGCGCACATGGCGGCAAACCTGGCAGAGAATACAAAGAATGCCCTGGATGGTCAACTGGTGAGGTCTGTTACGGGATGGCTAGATAGCACCGTAGCCCTATATTGGATCAAAGGGAGTGGAACTTATAAACAATTCGTAAGATAAATGAGAAGGAGTTCATGGCGTGGAGACATGTAGCCACTGACCAGAATCCAGCTGACATTGGAAGCAGAGGGTGTATTGGAAGCAATCTCCCCAAGATTTGGTTAAACGGACCAGTGGCCGGAGTCAATTGTTCCTAAGGCAAGCAAGGAAACTGAAGAAGAAGCGAAACTGAGCCGAGAATTATTCACAGCTGCCGTGGAGATAAATGATGAGTTTGCAGAATTATTGTCGAAGCAATGCTTTTGGTCTGCAGTCCGTATCATGTCTTGGATTAAAAGATTCTTAACGAACTGTAAGTTGAAGAAACTAGCAAGAGTTTCTGGTCCTTTGACAACTAAAGAGATAAATCAACAAGTTGAGTGGTGGATCAAGAGAGTCCAAGACAGCTCCAGTGGTACAGACGAATTTCAAGAAGACAAATTAAAACTGAACTTGCAGCTGAACTCAGCTGGGTTATACGAGTGCCGTGGTCGCATTCAAGGAGAATTTCCTTTATACTTACCACCTGCGGCACGTTTACCTAAGAAGATCGTTGAAGACGCCCACATCGTGACTCTGCACGGGGGAGTTGGCCTTACAATGATTTTGGTTAGACGTGACTATTGGATCCCACGATTGAGGCAGTTAACAAAGAAAGTTATCAACAATTGCTTCGGGTGCAAGAAAATCCGTGCCACTGCGTTCCACAGTCCACAACCTGCAAATCTTCCAACAGACCGGACCATTGGTTCGACTCCTTTCCAAGTAATCGGTGTCGACTATGCGGGACCAATGGAATACAAGATTAGTTCGACGAAAAACGGCAAAGCTCATATCCTGTTGTTCGCATGTAGTCTTACCCGAGCCATCCATCTCGAGCTCTTAAAAGATCAAACGACTGAGGGATTCATCAGAAGTTTGAAGCCGTTTGTGGCTAGACGTGGTAGACCTAGTAATATCTATACCGACAACGCCAAAAGTTTTGTAGCTGCAGCGAAGTTGCTCAGAGCGATCATGAAAGATGAGAAGCTTCAAAATTATCTCGCCCACCAGTACATAAAATAGCAATTTAATTTAATTCGAGAGACTAGTGGGGCTAGTGAAACGAGCATTGTATATGGAATTATCATGTGATATACCACATAAGACGGAGGAAGTTACTGAACTTAATCCCAGAGCAAGAGAATTTAATCCTAGAAGGTCAGCCGTAGTCGCTAGGAATATGATAAAAGAGATTGCAAATCAAGAGGAACTAACCATTTGAACGATACAGTAAATTTATTCATAAACTTCTAGTTAATAAGCGTTACATTACAGACAGGATCATATTTAATACATACAGTATAAAATCGGAGGAGAGTTTGTCATATTTAGTAATAATTTGTTTGATATTTGGTAGTTAATTGTTGCTGACATGTATTTTGGTAGGTGAAAAACGACAACATAGTATCAGCAGTAAAGTAAACTATAAACTGAACAAACGTGAGTTATTTGCCGGGTTAAGCGAATCCCGACATATCCAGCGAGATGCCAAAATCCCGATATTTGCCCATACCTTATCCTGGCATTACTCACTCTATATGTGCAGGAACTTGTGGTTACAGCTTGACAACTGTACTGTGTGGTTGGTTAGAGCGCTGCACTGGAATCACAGGGTCGCAGGTTCGATTCCTGCCGAAGGACCCATATTTGCATTTTTCGCAACTGCTTCTGCTTAAGTCTAAGATTGTATATAATCATTGGCTCGTGATTTAAATCTAAAAACCCTTCAACCGTTATATATAGTTCTACCGAGAAAGATGCCCAAATATCTCGATATTTATCACAAATGCTGCAGTTAAGTTGAGAGTTTTTCGTACGTCCGCGTATACGTACGGAAAAGTATAAATCTTTCTAAATTTTATATCAGAACTGATAATTACCTCAAATGTACATTAAATCATAAACAAAACAGACTGATGACCTTTTATTCATTAACTAATTTCAAGAGTAACATGTAAATGGTTTCAAAAACGTTTCCATGCATATACCTACGTACGAAAAACGCTGAACTGGAATGTTGGCCTAGTAAATGTTTAATACTTAATTATTATTATGTGGTAAACATTTGTTTTGATGAATCGCGCAATTCTATTGGCTGCTGACGAGGCACGATTTTCCCGCATTGCCCACTGGCCACGAGAGCCAAGAAACGGCAAAAGTGTCTAAAAGTCTTTCAACCTTTAAAAAAGTGGCCAGGTCGAATCTGACCCTCTCAAATAAAAAATACAACTAAAGCAGCCACAGATTTATAATTTCCCCCTGAGAATTACTGTTTTTGTTGTATAGATAAAAACAGACATAAAACGAACTTGTCGATGCTGTTTATTAATTTTATTGCTTTCATATTTGTTGTACTTGATTAAACTCAGGCCGGTTAATGCCTAGCTCTTGTTGGCTCTGCCCACGCTGACTTGATATGTCCGCGCGAGTTGCGCGCGCGATTCAACATATCCAGCGTGTTGCCGTTTGACTGCGTTTTGCCGTTGGAATGAAACTGAAATTTAATAACTATGAGCTGTTGGATTATTTTATATTATGTTAGATTATAGCAACCAGCAGGGATGAGTAAATTATCAGTTTTTCTTGTACAATTGGCCGTTGTATTATTATATTATGCGATATGCGGCGACTTTGAACTTTGATATATAACGCTATTGCGGGATTTTATGTCTCAATTATTCAACATCGATTTGTGATTCCTTTTTAGTTTCCCACTCACAGAAAAATATTTGAAATACAAATAAGTACTCAGCATATGGATGGTTCAAACTTTTTGGGGTGGCGTTGTTTAAGTGTGACATATTTCTCTTAAAAACTTGAGGACGCAATAAATGTTGTTGTTGAAATATAATATCCTTTCATATAAAGACTCAGACTCCTGTCGAATATTCTCTCAATATATAAGCGAAAATATGTACTTATCATATTGTACTTCTGTACACATTTTTCTCTCTGTTCCTCGCATATTATTTGAATACACTACTTACTAGTTGTAAATGGTTTATCAGTCATTGTGTATTTGTATTTAGTAATATTTTGTTTCACGGCAGGGGCTTATATTAATGATAATGGCGAGCGCGAATTCATCACGCAAAAAACGCGTTGGACTTGCCGACTTACAAGACAACGTTAATGTCGGTCGCGAATACGTAGATTTTGTCCAGAGTACAGCCAACTTTGGTCCTACAATTAGATTTGTAAGCATTGTAATCTGGAACGATCGTTTTAGTGCAAATTATATTGACATTGTGCGAGACATTGTTGTAATCACAGCAATATTTTCATATCAGTGGCATAATCTTTAAGTTCCGAATTACCACATTGCAGTATAAGAGTAAAAGGTTCCGTGATAATATTTTTGTACGTATCCATGAATGTTCAGTAAGTCGGCAAGCCGTGTTTATAAACATTAAGTTAATTTCCATTATCACCGCCTATATCTTGTCACGTGACCAGTTTCCATGGAAACCAAATAGTTAAAAAATATCGGCAGTTGATTTTCAACATCTCACCCAAAAATAAGAGTCGTAGCGTATTTTGTTAATTTTTAATTAATTTTTAAAGATTTTTTCTATTTTCCCACTCCTTACGAAATTGGAGCCAGGCATTAATGCACCTGAGAATGACGAAATACCTCGTATTGTTCTTGAAATACTATCCAAACTGTGTTAGTATTCTATAAAAAGTGCTGTAGAGCAGTTTTACTAACCAAGAGAACATTTTTTACAATTGTTTGTTTTTGTAAATGTTTCGGACTTTTTACTTTGCCCTTACGTGACCTTTTTCCCCATTTTTACAAACATACAATGCCATATAATAAAAAAAGTTACTTACCTCAACCGTTCAGGCAGTCTGGAAAAATATCCAACCTTGGTCTATCGCTCGGTCAATACAGCAAGTTCTTGGTTGGTTATTTTCCCGTACTGTCCTCACTCTCGGTCAGTAAGTTATTATTCGTTGGAAAAATTGCTTTCGAAAATTACTTCAATTTCGAGTAAATTAATATTTACGAGCTTCGGTTATAGCCTCTGACGCTGAAAATGGCGAGGGCTGCATTGTGACATTGTCAGTAAAGTATTTTATTTTATTTTAAATTCAGCAAAGTGTTGACGAGATGACACAGCGGTTTGAAAAAATGACGATAATGGTTCAGCAAGCATTGCAAGGAAGCAATGTAAACAACAATGGTGCTCAAGCTATAGATCCAGCAGTTAAAGTCAACAATCAAGATATTATTATTCTTGGCGGTTTATATGCCCCAGGGCTTAAAACTGTATCGAGTACAGTTGAAAAATACGATATAGAAGAAGGCAAGTCAACTCGATTACCAGCAATGAATCTACCTCGAGCAGAATCAGCTTCATGTGTTTACAACGGTGATGTGATCGTTGCCGGAGGTTTCGATGGTCAAACTGCTACTGACTTGATCGAGATTTTAAAGATGAACCAGCATCCTTTGCGATGGACGGTGATTGATGGTAAACTGCGCGCCAAGTTATCTGGTCATGACGTCACAGTTTACGACGATAAATTATACATCATAGGAGGAGATAACTGGAATGAAAAAAAAACATCCGATGCAATTTATGAACTATCCCTTGCCCCGCCTTATACTGTCAAACTTCTCGCAAGAATGCCACAGCGAAGACAACGCCACCGTGCGGAGATTGTTAACGGGAAGCTATTTATTTTGGGAGGAACGACAACAGCCTTTTTTAAAGATGCCACAGATAGTGTTGTTGTCTATGATTTCATCAGAAAGGAGATTAAGGCATGTGAGTCGCTACCCAAGTCTGTCTCAGGAATGTGCACAGTTACTTGGGGCAATATAATCATTGTTGTCGGCGGGGTGGATAAGAATGATCAGGTTTTAAATGAAGTCATCATGTATCACATCGAGACAGGGCAAAGTGAAAGATTACCATCACTGAAACACAAGAGGCGTGGTGCCTCTGCGGTCATCATGCATAACGTCATTGTTGTACTGGGTGGATGGAATAAGGAGCAGGGATATCTCAAATCTGTAGAAAGTTTCAGAATGGGAGATGATCAGTGGAAAGAACTGCCAGTGATGAATGAGAAAAGACATTACGCAACTGCTGTGGTGAAACCTCGCAACTAGTTTTAAGGATACGCTTTACAACATACATTTTCACGTCAACATTTTCGAGGTTTCATAATCATATGAATAGAAAACGTTTAAGTTTATGTTACTGGTCTATGCTACTATATATATATACACTATATTGACACAAAAGGTAAAATTACAGTATTAAAGTATTGTAGCCTAATCTTTGCCTTTTACAACTTAACAAAATATTGTTGAATGTAAATATAGTGTATATATAGTAACATAGACTGTAGGAAGTATGGTAGTCCAGCGGATATGCACAGATATTTGAGAAAATCGTGCACTTTGTGAAGAAAGCACCAAATTCTCAGGAAGTGTAGACCTTAACATGATAATGAATCTTAGATATGGAGGCATCATCAAAATTGATATTGACGGCTTAAAATTCAGAATTTCTTATAATCTATTCTCTTATTAATCTCTTATACAATTAGAAATCGTGAAATTGCAGGTTCACATATAGCAAAAATGACATGCGTCATTAGAAAGTTTCAAAAAAAATGCACACAGGACATTTAAGCAGATACTTTGATATTCCATCTCCTCTGGAGTTATGAACGGTTGAAAATATTTTTTAGGGCTAGTGTTCAGGACTTTGGCGGGATGGTTGCCTATTTATCACGTTTTTAAATAGCAATAACTGGAAAACCGCCTGGAAAATCAATCAGCCGTTTAAAAGTTTAAAAGTCTTATATGTAGTTTTTTGTAAGCTTCTAATCATGCAAGTCATTTTTGCTATATGTGAACCTGCAATTTCACAATTTTAAACAGTAATAGAGTTTAATAAGAGAAAATAGGAAATCCTAAATTTTAAGCCGTCAACATCAATTTTGGTGATGCCTCCATATCTAAGATTCATTATCATGTTAAAGTCTACATTTCCTGTGAATTAGGTGCTTTCTTCACAAAGTGCATGATTTTTTACTTTTCCGCTGGACTATGGTGTGTAAATGTTTATAAAACTCAAGATAACTTGTACATGTATGTAGATTTGCATAGCATCAATATAATTTTCAAAATCTCATACGAACAGTGATGGCGACATTGACAGCAGACTGCTATAAGCGTTACAGGACAGTAGATGCTCGTCAGGACAATAGATACTCGCGTACAGGTCAGTAGGTATTCGCCTCGTTACATCACAGTAGATACTCGTTACAGGACAGTAGATACTCGCCTACGGCTCGTGTATTTTCACGCTTTCCGAAAGTCGAGCAACATACCAAGTGCATGGATCATGCTATTCTGCACGGGAAAGTCGTTGGGTAACTGTTTTATAAAATTACTACAGTGAAACGACGTTTAACTTGATTAAATTACTGATGAAATGTGCAGTTCTCACAACAATCGTGAATTAACCAATCGGAGAATGGCTACTCTACGCTATTGAAAACAACAACAAATATGAACAGAATTTGATCGCAAATTCTCGAAAATATACAGCGAAAATACAGAGACTTTTTCGATAAAATATACGAAATTTGAAATGGAAAGCCTGCTAAACAGACAGCCAAAGTAGTTTTGAAGGTTCTCGATCTGAATACTTGAAGATTGCGAAGCGTTTGAATTTTCAAGCGAGAGATGTTGTACTTGCCATGGTCTGATGAATTTCAACGCTACGCGCGTTGCTACTTGCTGAACAGCAATGTATCAATCAGAAATTTATTCATACAACTAAACGAACAACACAATAATTGCAAACTTACTTCAAAGTCGAAAGGTGTGGTACAATGAACCTTTACAATGCGAGTATATTTGTAAAATTATGTGCAAGAATTTCTGTTCAGGATTTCCCGTGCAGGATTGTCTGATCCTGCACGGCTGTTGACCAATCAAATTGCGTGTTTCATTGTAGTTATTATATAAATAGGTTTACCCCTTACTTTAAACACCCTAATATTCGTTCTGTAGGGCAAATTTTGCATAATCTTAGTGTAAAATTCACATCGATCCTCACTAATAGTTAGTTGTGTAAAAATCTGATGCTTTGGTACGGATATTAAGACTAATTTATAAAAAATCATAAATGAACGTCAAAATTATGAACCATAATTGTTATATGACGAACTATTGAACATTTAAAATTTGCATGTTATGTTAGTATATAGTTTTTATTAGATTCAATTGTATTAGACGTTATTTTCAACTATTTTTTAGAAATATTCTGATTTTCATTATGTGTACTTATCAAAACGTTGTGTATACATTCAAAAAAATCTTACCAAATTCCACGATAATTTATATTGCTATTCTGTTGAGTTGTTTATTCGATTCGTATTTTGATTCTATTGTGGTGACTGTTATAAGATGGAGGACAGCTATGGATTGAGAGGAATACAACTACCTGACAAATACAACCAGAACTTCAACATTTCGAGCAAAGGCCTCTCGTTCGGGAGTTAGATTGTCTCACTCAAACCGTCGAAGTTCTACTTTTATTTTTCGGGTAGTTGTCTCTCTCACAGTAAATACTAAACTACTGCATATTACGAAAATAATTCTACACCGTCTTTCCTCTCATTAGTTACACTAATGTTGGTTTACTGGCAACTGCATTAATTTTCCTTAGTAAAGTCTTTTGGCAATCGTTAGCAAGGGCATCAACCCTGGGGGACGCACCCCCACATTTCGGAGGAATGGGGAAATAAGTACATTACCCCAACATGGTTTGACATATTTTGCACTTCTGCACAATTCATGACATACGATTAGCTAATAGTTATTCATCCTCAATTTTGCTCGAATTTCAGGGCCATTCATTCCGACCGATATGTCCTGGGGTGGGAGGTTAAAAGCAAAATTACCGGCCCCCTAACATCCCTTATGCTTTTATAAGAAAGATAAGAATATTTAATTGCCTCTTTGCGACTTTTCATTGGGGTGGGGGGAGATTACATCACTAAAAACTGTCCTCGGAAAGGTTTTTTGAATCTAAAGTAAACGCTATTCGAGAGCCACTTGAATCTAAAAAAAAACTAATTTTTTGCACAAGCCATTGTTTCCTCTTATATAAAAAAGTAATTTTAACCCACAATCGCTACTCTTCATGTTACCTTGACAACATGACGTCACCATCTATATGGCCTATATCAACCAAAAATGCCGCCCCTAGCGGACAAATAACCACGGTGACCTGCCTTTTTTATTGCAGAAAATACATTGGTATGAAATTTTGAATCTTAATTTTTTGAAAATTATTTGAAAATTGCCAGTGTAGTTTTCGAGAAGCTGAATTTCAGCTTTTCCAAAGGGTAAAATGCAATCTTAAAGGCTGACGCGTTGCGCGCGTCAGCGATCTTCGACAAAATGGAATTACTGAACGGTAAAGCGACGTAAGGCATCCCAAGATATATATACAGCAATAACATGAAGTTTTGAACACTTTAATTATTGTGTGGTTCGAGGTGAATCCAATCGATGTTAGCAGTCTAATATGACGGCAAATTGCATCCACAAAACAACCAGGTATAGTTTGCGTTGATCAGAATACAGTAGTCCGAGTCAAGCGCGAATGGAATGAAAACAACCAAAAGGAATGGTGTGCAGTTGAGGAAAAGTAACTTAACGTATATTAGTTCCAGATGAAAATAATTCAATGCCAGAACGGGACATTGAATATCGCAGTATTGGAAAAAGCTTCGTTTGCAAATGTCCGGTAAGCAGACATAGAAGGCGCAAGTTCCATTTTAGTACTCTTCGCTTTCCTTTCGACATCATAATGGGAAAGGGTTCGATGACCACTCAGTTTGATTCGGTCATTTTCGGGCGTTACAGGGCAGCAGTGAAGTTACTAAACTGCATTTTTTCACGGGTATTTTCCTCCATGTCAATCATTCGCATTTAAAAGTGTTCCAGCATGAAATTAAACTCACTTCCATTGAAGTTAAGACAGATACAGGACACTAATGTTTTCAGGAAAAATCTAAAATTATTTTGAATTTAAAATTATTTCGTGAGGCCGTTGAATATATTGGTACAATTCTTAATCCCGAGGATGACTACAAACCAGTGGAAACGTTGATTTAAAAACAAAATGTTGTTCGTTTTCCACCAAACCATTGTTTCCGCCCAGGATCGAACTGGGGACCTTGCGCGTGTTAGGGGCACGTGATGACCGCTACACTACGGAAACCTGCATGCCGATAAATGTTCGCCAATGGCTAATTCATTACCAGATGAGAAAGTTTTACCTAGGAGAAAAATGCTCGATGTATCATGAAAAATCGCTGTGTCGATCTAGTTAATTTATAAAAAATTAAATTTGTCACAAATGTGAAAACATTACAACAATATAACACTACAGTATTTGACATGTGTGACAGGGACAAGGAACAGAATTTTCATCCCAGTTATTACCTCATCCCTTTGCTATCTATGTACTAACATATAGCTATACTATACTAAACGTCACTTAACAAATATTTACACTCAATACAAAACATTCAATATATTAATAGCTAATACTAGGAAGATTGTATGTTATTAATTTGCTATTATACAAATTTATTACGCGTGTTCTAAATGAAGTTAGAGTATTAGAAGTATTTATGACTGGGGGAAGACTGTACCAAAGTTTTGCAGATCTGATAAAATAAGATTTTCTGAAATAATCTTGATTATGCTTTATTATAAGGTGAAAGTAATTTTTATCGTAGTTGCGCGACTTGTATCCGGGGTTAAATGTACATATATACTTAGAGATAATCAACTTGCCCAAGAAAACGACTTATTAAAAAAAGCAAATATGGCACTTAAATCTGACGTACATAAACTTGAATGTCTATTGTCCGAAACCAGTTCTAAATTAGTAGCTGCGGAAAGCGAAAAAGCTAGTCTCGTGACGGTTATTAGGTTAATGAATGAGGATTGTGCTAATGCTGTTAAAGATGTGGGGGACAACGTTCGCAGTCAAACGACTCAACCAAGAAATCCATGGTGTACGGTTCATACAAGAAGCGAGAATCTAAAAGGTAACGAGGTTTCAAGGCTGCACAACCAGTTCTCGTCTTTAGAGGACGAGGCAAATGAACTAAACAATAACAGTGACTTTGATGCTTCCGTAATTAATATTGATTCTGATATACAACAACCAACACCTAGTCAAAATATGTCTGAGAGTACAAGTAAATTTACAGAGCCCAAGGATGACAGAACGCAAGGTACAAGTGGTAACAGTGATCGAGTACCAAAGAAAGGTATTGCACTTATTGGGGATTCAATAATCAAAAATGTTAGTCCGGTAAAACTCTCAAAAAGGAAAGTTTATAAATTCACATATCCAGGTGAAACAACTATAGAAATAACTAATGAGCTTGCCAAAATTAATATTAAACCGGACCCGTCTCATGTTGTTATTCACGCAGGGACAAATGATGTCCCTGTTGAATCTATAGACGAATGTGTTGGTAACATGGAAAAACTTATTACAACAGCTAAACAGAAATTCCCTAATTCTAAAATTGGAATTTCTGGACTTACATTGAGACAGGATAGTGATTTAATATCAAAAATAGAAGAAATTAATGAGAAAGTTCAGAGTTTGTCATCTAAGCATGATGTCACATTTATAAGTAATATGTCAACAGATGAGACATGTTTGAACTCTAGTGGCCTGCATCTAAATGCAAAGGGGACTGCCATACTAGCTACACATTTTATTAAGTTCCTTAGGGATGGACAATCCTTAAGTTCACTGCGCCCACAAAAACATTCCCGTCAGGATTTTCCAAAGAACACAATAAACCATCTGGCAGAACTACTAAATGCGATAATGAACTTGAACAAGTAAATTGTCAAGATGTGCCAAGCAATTCTTTATTAGGCATAGATAGTGAAATCAACATAATCGCCAAAAGTAAAGGTTTGAAGATAGCCAACTTAAATGTAAATAGCTTAATGAAACATCTGGATGAAATTCGCTTAATCCTTAACAATAACGCCCTTGACATTCTTGCAATCAATGAGTCCAAAATTGATAATCAGATTTCAAATAATGAGATACATATTGATGGTTTTAATATAATTTGTAAAGATCGAAATAGGTTTGGTGGAGGTGTGGTTCTATATGTTCGCCAAAACATATCATTCTCAGATAGAATAGATCTAATCCCTGATGAACTTGAGATGGTCTGCACTGAATTAAGTTTACCCTACAATAAATCACTGCTAATAAGCACATGGTATAGACCACCAAATTCGCTTATGAATATATTTGATTACAGGGCAAGCTTTTTAGCAAAATGTGATAATGAAGATAAGGAGCTAATCCTCATAGGAGATCTAAATTGTGATGTCAGTAAAACTATACCTTACCCTCAAACATGTAAGTTGCAATTTTTATGTTCTCTGTATCAGATAGACCAACTTATTAAAGAATCTACAAGGCTAACTCCTAAATCAGCTACACTAATTGATTTAATATTAACAAATAGACCAGAAAATATTTCCAGATCAGCTGTCATTCACCTGGGAATTTCAGATCACAGCCTTGTCTACGCTGTGAGAAAATTTACACTACCGAAAGGAAGGCAAAAAATTCGTCAGGTTCGTAACTTTAAAAACTTTGTCGAAAATGATTTCATTCGGGATGTGTCTCAATTGCCTTGGGAGATGGTCTATCAGTTTGGAGATCCCAATTTATGTTGGCAAGTCTGGAAATCACTATTATTAGATGCACTTAATAGACATGCCCCTCTGCGCCACAAGCGAATAAGGAATAACCCTGTCCCATGGATTAATCCTCAAATTAAAGAACTTATGAGAAAAAGGGACTATCACAAAAAAAAGGCCATAAAATATGATTCGGAGTCACAGTGGGAATTGTATAAAACACTACGTAATGAAGTAAATATAAACATGCGGAAAGCAAAATCTAAGTACTTTTGTGATAAAATCCAGGCAAGCTCTCAAATGGGAGACAGTAAAAGCGGATGGGCTTGGATAAATTCGCTCTTAGGAAGAAAGCATAAGAATGAAAATATTAATGAACTGAAAGTAAATGATGATATTATTTCTGATGATAAATCTATTACTGAAACATTAAATGAATATTTTATAAATATTGGAATGAAGATGGCTGCTGAATCAGCATGTCAAAGCACTGATGCTTTAAATGATCAAGTAATTTATGAAAGTACTGTGCTTCTTCCTAAAGAAAATTTTCACTTCGCAGATATTACTATAGATAGTGTCTCCAAACGCCTACAAAAACTAAATGTCTCAAAAGCGACAGGTATGGATGGAATACCTGCAAATATTTTAAAACTGACATCAACCCTTATTGCTCCATCTATTACTTTTATATTTAACCTATCGATTAGAACTGGTATTTATATAGATGAGTGGAAATTAGCTAGAGTTATACCAATTTACAAATCTGAGGATAAGCGTAAATGCGAAAATTATAGACCAATTTCAATTCTTCCCATAATAAGTAAAATATTTGAAGGGGAAGTTTTTTACTCAAATATATAGCTTTTTGAATAAACATGCGCTTCTGTCTAAATTTCATTCCGGGTTTAGACCAAAACATGGAACCTTAGGTGCTCTTATACAAATGTGTGGTCAATGGCTACAAGACATGGTTGAAGGCAAAATAAATGGAGTTGTTTTTCTTGATATATGTAAAGCATTTGACTCGGTGAATCACGAGATATTATTGGAGAAGCTTAAAACCCAGTTTGGAATTCACGACATTGAATTAAAATGGTTCCAATCATACTTAAGGAATAGAAAGCAAGTGTGTTCTGTTAATAATCAAACTTCTTCTGCAAGAACAATAATATGCGGAATTCCGCAAGGATCCATACTTGGTCCATTACTGTTTTTGCTATATATTAATGATATGCCTGACATTTTAGAAAGGACAACCCCATGTCTTTATGCCGACGACACTCAGATATCTTCCTCTTCGCATGATTACGATACATTGATTGACAATTTGAATATGGACCTTTCCAGTATTCATAAATGGCTTGCTAAAAACAAACTAAAATATCATAGGAAAAAAACAAAAGTCATGTTTATTGGATCTACGCATAATCTAAATAATAAAATAGGAAATAGACCCGTTGAGACTAACAAAATCCCAGTCCCACAAACCAATACATTTCAATGTCTAGGTGTAAATCTAGATGAAAAATTAAGTTTGGAGAAACATATTGATTCTGTATGCCATAAGATTAGCGCTGGAATAGAGGCAATTAAAAGAGTAAAACCTTATGTTCCACACAAAACCTTACATGATGTCTACAAAACATTAATTCAGCCTCATTTTGATTCCTGTTCTCCCCTTTGGGATAACTGTGGTTTGGGACTTCAAGACAAATTGCAAAAATTCCAAAATCGAGCAGCAAGGGTGATTATCGGAGCTGACTACGATGTAAGATTCTCGGAGAAATGCATCGCAGAATATTTATGATTTACGCAATAGCGAAACTGATCTCTCGTTAAAAAAACCGAACACGGAATTTCTAAAGAAAACATTTGGATACAGTGGAGTAATTCTATGGAATAATCTCCCGCAAGATTTCAAGGCGGCTGAGTCAATTACGTCATTTAAAACAATGGCGAAATTGCATTTAAGCAGATGATAAGCTAATTTCTCCAGGACCAAATGATGGGAGGACAATATAGATTGTGGGCGGGAGGGGGGTTAGTTTTGCGTGACGGTGGGTGGGTACTTGTTTAGGGGGTGGAGGTTTGGGAGAAAGATGATAAAATTTTAGGGTGGCATTCTCACATATTTTGTTCTATATATAATTAACATTTCGCTCTTTGTGTGTATACGCCCTTCGTGGAAACCAGTTGTAAATAATTGTCGAAGTTGGCGTATTGAAATAAAGTTTTACATACATACATACATACTTTCCTATGAGATCGTATTTAGCTTTAAACAGGAGTATTAGATCAGAAATTTCTCTTCGGAATTCCAATGGCAACAAGCTTGTTTTCTGGAGGCGTTCTTTGTAACACGTACCTTTAGGATAATTTAAAATGAATCTTGTAGCGCGACATTGCACATTTTCAACTAAAAGTTTATGTTTGATGGTGTATGGAGACCAAACGTTACTCGCATATTCCAGCTTTAGTCTTACTAGCGCGCAGTATAGGGTACTTCTCGTCTTGTCGTTTTCCACTTCTTTGCAAATACGTTTAATCAAACCGAGAGTTTTCTTTGCCTTAGAAACAATGCTGTTAATGTGTTGTGACAACGATAAGTCTTTCGACACTACAACTCCAAGATCCTTAAAATTTGTCACTTGCTCAATAATGTGTCCATTGATGATGTAGTTGGTTTGAGCGGGCGCATTCTTTCTGGAGATCCGCATGGCTTTACATTTTGTACTGTTCAATTCCATTTGATTATCGGTGGTCCAGGTTATTAGGTTGTCGAGATCATGCTGAAGAAATGACAGCTGTTGCCCGCGATTGATCTCAAGATTGAGTGATGGGCAGAACGCAAGATTCACTGTCAATGTGCTGCTTCAAACTGACACCACGATGAATTTTTTTTGCTGATTAGCAATTAATTTTTTAAAAATTAACTGTATCGACATAGCGATTTTCCATGACACATCCAGTTTTCTCCTAGGTAAAACTTTCTCATCTGCCAATGAATTAGCCATTGGCGAACATGTATCGGCATGCAGGTTTCCGTAGTGTAGCGGTCATTAGGTGCGCCTAACACGCGCAAGGTCCCCAGTTTTATCCCGGGCGGAAACAAAGTTTTGATGCAAAACGAACAACATTTTGTTTTTAAATCAACGTTTCGACTGGTTTGTAGTCATCCTCGGGATTAAGAATTGCACCAATATATTCAATGGCCTCACAAAATAATTTTAAAATTCTCTGTCAGGAGTGTGATTTGAACCCACGCCCACATTAGGGGACCAGAACGCCCTTTGGCTGCGCATTAGCGGAGCAGGTTTTGAAACTTGAGTCTGGCGCCTTAAACCGCTCGGCCATCCTGACAGCTGACAACCCTTGTGCCTACTGTACATTACGTCATTTTACTTTCTTATATAATGGAGAAACAATCATTCATTTAAACCAGAAACTATATCCGACTGCAATTAACTGAACATCTTTTCTCTCATCGCACGTCACTGCTCCTTCTATTGCTTCAACAGAAGAAACAAAATTGGCTGCAGCGGGAGGATCAAATGAACGAATTTTCAGTCAATTTTGAACGTTTGAAACTGGGGAAGTTTGCAAAGGGTTCCGAACATGCGCTTGTTTCTTTAGTGTAGCAGTCATCACATGCGCTTTACGCGCGCAAGGTCCCCAGTTCGATCGTGGGAAGAAGCATGCATTTGGTGTTTTATTTACAAAAAAATAAAGAGCAAAATTCAGCTACGCACTGAACTCGTGCTTCGCCAGCCAATTTCTGTAGAATAATGGTCATCACGTGCGCTTCACACGCGCAAGGACCCCAGTTCGAGACTGGGCGGAAACATAATAAATGTGTTGCGAAGTCAGCCTGCTTATTATCAAATGTTAACTTGCGTACATGATCGATTGTGAAAAGGTAAACCAAATTTTAAAGACCGTTAACTTGTGACGCGCGATACGGGTTGCAGAATCAACTTTTCCTTCTTTTGCTTGCATTTCCACGGTTTTCGCCAACGAAGAGAGAACACCTTGCGCATTATTTATTACCTGTTCTAGCGTAATCTTCGCTAAAAAGTGTTTCAAGCTAAAAACAGATGAATGCATTGAAGGGCAGTCGAGATCTGCCCTACCGCCCAATATTTAACGAAGCAATAAATATGACAGCTGTTTCCCGCGATTGATCTCAAGATTGAATGATGGGGAGAACGCGACATTCACTGTCAATGTGCTGCTTCAAACTGACACCACGAAGAGATTTTTTAGCTGATTAGCATTTTATTTTTTAAAAATTAACTAGATCGACACAGCGATTTTTCATGATATATCGAGAAGTTTTCTCCTAGGTAAAACTTTCTCATCTGGTAATGAATTAGCTATTGGCGAACATTTATCGGCATGCAGGTTTCCGTAGTGTAGCAGTCATCGCGTGCGCCTAACACGCGCAAGGTCCCCAGTTCGATCCTGGGCGGAAACAATGGTTTGATGGAAAACGAACAACATTTTGTTTTTAATCAACGTTTCGACTAGTTTGTAGTCATCCTCGGGATTAAGAATTGAACCAATATATTCAACGGCCTCACGAAATAATTTTAAAATTCTCTGTCAGGAGTGGGATTCGAACCCGGGCCACATTAGTGGACCAGAACGTCCTTTGGCTGCGCAGTAGCGGAGCAAGTTTTCAAACTTGAGTCTGGCGCCTTAGATCGCTCGGCCATCCTGACAGCTGACAACCCTTGTGCCTACCGTACATTACGTTATTTTACTTTGTTATATAATGGAAAATAAATGTTTCATTTAAACCAGAAAATATATCCTTGAACATCGTTTCTCTCATCGCACGTTAGTGCTCCTTCTATTGCTTCAACAGTAGAATCAGAATTGGCTGCTGCGGGAGGATCAAATGAACGAATTTTCAGTCAATTTTGAATGTTTGAAGCTTTGGAAGTTTGCAAAGGGTTCCGAACATGCGCTTGTTTCTGTAGTGTAGCGGTCATCACGTGCGCTTTACGCAGGCGAGGTCCCCAGTTCGATCCTGGGCAGAAGCATGCATTTGGTGTTTTATTTACAGAAAATAAAAAGAGCAAAATTCAGCTACGCACTGAACTCATGCTTCGCCAGCCAGTTTCTGTAGAATGGTGGTTATCACGTGCGCTTCACACGCGCAAAGACCCCAGTTCGAGCATGGGCGGAAACATCGTAAATGTGTTGCGAAGTCAGGCTGCTTATTATCAAATTTTAACTTGCGTACATGATCGATTGTGAAAAGGTAAACCAAATTTTAAAGACCGTTAATTTGTGGCGCGCGATACGGGTTGCAGAATCAACTTTTCCGTCTATTGCTTGCATTTCCACGGTTTTCGCCAACGAAGAAAGAGCACCTTGCGCATTATTTATTACCTGTTCTAGCGTAATCTTCGCTAAAAATCTGTTTCAAGCTAAATACAGATTAATGCATTGAAGGGCAGTCGAGATCTGCCCTACCGCCCAATATTTAACGAAGCAATAAAGATGATAGCTGTTTCCCGCGATTGATCTCAAGATTGAATGATGGGGAGAACGCGACATTCACTGTCAATGTGCTGCTTCAAACTGACACCACGAAGAGATTTTTTAGCTGATTAGCATTTAATTTTTTAAAAATTAACTAGATCGACACAGCGATTTTTCATGATACATCGAGAAGTTATCTCCTAGGTAAAACTTTCTCATCTGGTAATGAATTAGCCATTGGCGAACATTTACCGGCATGCAGGTTTCCGTAGTGTAGCGGTCATTAGGCGCGCCTAACACGGGCAGGTCCCCAGTTCGATCCTGGGCGAAAACAATCGTTTGATGGAAAACGAACAACATTTTGTTTTTAAATCAACGTTTCGACTGGTTTGTACTCATCCTCAGGATTAAGAATTGCACCAATATATTCAACGGCCCCACGAAATAATTTTAAAATTCTCTGTCAGGAGTGGGATTCGAACCCCCGCCAACATTAGTGGACCAGAACGCCCTTTGGCTGAGCATTAGCCGAGCAAGTTTTGAAACTTGAGTCTGGCGCCTTAGACTGCTCGGCCATCCAGACAGCTGACAACCCTTGTGCCACGGTCGGCTTTACAGTTTCAGATTCGCAGTTTCAGATTCACACTCAGATTCAAATATGAAAATAGATCAGGTGTCTGGCGTATAAGATGTCGAATTACTCAGTTTCTTTCTACTCAATAAACTTGTTAACGAATTTCGTTCTTCTTCAGAACATTACGCATTGAACAAATGTATTTTGAAGGCTCTAGCGCAAAATGTGAAGTCAGGAAAAATCGCAAGAGATAGACGATCAAGACGTGAATTCATGCTGCGCCATATTGTCGCAAGTGATCGGCAATATTATATTTCTCTGTCTAAAGCAAAATACCCGTTTTAGCTCCCTAATCTCTGAAATTCATTCACTACTACATTATACTGAATGGTATAAAGTAAACAAGATCCTGAAAACGTTTGTCGTTTTGTCAGGAAAAATCGCAAAACGTGGCGAACGCGAACCGGCTTTTGTAACCCGAAGCGAATGACAACAACGCAGCTGAGAGAATAAATCCTTCTCACGCATCACACGTTTACATTGAAATATTTTCCAGCAAATCCATTCTTCTACAACTATCATAGAATGATATAACGCACTCGTTAGCTTCAAACAACTTCTGGTTTCAGCAGGAAAATTCGCAAAAGAGAACTCGTTGGAACTCGTGCTTGACTCAAAAAATCCGGATGTCCATTGGAACGCTCCTGCGGGTCCGCTCAGTCTGAGATAATGCATTTTTTACTTAATAGTGAATCCATGCCAACATATAAAAAAATTGTAATGTTTAGCCGTATTTTTTTCGCGGAAAAAGTACTTGAAATTTTTTATATGTAGAATGATAGAATGAATGACTCCCCGGATTTTATTGTTCCATATTGAAATTTCCCTTAGTTTCACATTCATTTTCAGATTCGCGCAAAAACAGTGATAATCTGCACAAATCGCTAAACCACTGCAACAGTTTTAATGCAGCCCATACCGTAAAGATTTTCATTCATCTACATTATTGTGCGCTTCATTTGTCGCGGTTTTCATTGCGATTCACCATTGTGTGCGTGCAGGAAAAATCGCAAAAGACAGACGATCAAGACGTGAATTCACGCTGCGCCATATTGTCACAAGTGATCGGCAATATTATATTTCGCTGTGTAAAGCAAAATACCAGCTGTAGCTCCCTAAACTCTAAAATTCATTCATTACTACATTATAGTGAATGGCATAAAGTAAACTAGATCTTAAAACCGTTTGTCGTTTTGTCAGGAAAAATCGCCAAACGTAGCTGACGCGAACCGGCTTTTGTAACCCGAAGCGAATGGCAACAACGCAGCTGAGAGAATAAATCCTTCTCACGCATCACACGTTTACATTGAAATATTTTCCAGCAAATCCATTCTTCTACAACTATCATAGAATGATATAACGCACTCGTTAGCTTCAAACAACTTCTGGTTTCAGCAGGAAAAATCGCAAAAGACAACTCGTTGGAACTCGTGCTGCACTCAAAAATCCGGGTGTGCATTGGAACGCTCCTGCGGGTCCGCTCAGTCTGATATAATGCAGTTTTTACTTAGTAGTGGATCCATGTCAACATGTAAAAAAATTGTAATGTTTAGCCGTATTTTTTTTCGCGGAAAAAGTACTTTAAATCGTTTATATGTAGAATGATAGAATGACTGATCCCCCCGGGTTTTATTGTTCCATATTGAAATTTCCCGTAGTTTCACATTCATTTTCAGATTTGCACTAAAACAGTGATAATCTGCACGAATCGCTAAACCACTGCAACAGTTTTAATGCAGCCCATACCGTAAAGATTTTCATTCATCTACATCATTGTGCGCTTTATTTGACGCGGTTTTCATTGCGATTCACCATTGTGTGCGTGCAGGAAAAATCGCAAAAGACAGACGATCAAGACGTGAATTCATGCGGCGCCATATTGTCACAAGTGATTGGCAATGTTATATTTCGCTGTGTAAAACAGAATACACGTTGTAACTCCCTAATCTCTAAAATTCGTTCATTACTACATTATACTGAATGGTATAAAGTAAACTAGATCTTGAAAACGTTTGTCGTTTTGTCAAGAAAAATCGCAAAATGTAGCTGACGCGAACCGGCTTTTGTAACCCGAAGCGAATGACAACAACGCAGCTGAGAGAATAAATCCTTCTCACGCATCACACGTTTACATTGAAATATTTTCCAGCAAATCTGTTCTTCTACAACTATTTTAGAATGATATAACGCACTCGTTAGCTTCAAGCAACTTCTGGTTTCAGCAGGAAAAATCGCAGAAGACAACTCGTGTTCGACTAAAAAATCCAGATGGGCATTGGAAGACTCCTGCTGGTCCGCTTAGTCTAATATAAGTGCATTCAGTTTTCATAATAGTGGATGTATGCCAGCATATTTAAAACTAGTGACTTATATTAATGCTTGGCCGTATTGTTTTCATGGAGAAAGAGTTTGAAATCGCTCTGTCATGTGTAATAATATGAAGGGATTTGAGTGTGTGAGCGATTATCTGCTCTTATATACACTCAAAACCCGGCAAATGAGATCTAATTTATACGACCTAAACTAAAGCAAAAGCCAAGACTATTCAACACGAAAGTGGGCAAACGAAATGTTACCCACTTTTGCAGAAAAAGCCTTACTCGGCAATAGTTGTACGAGGATTTTGGAACATTTTTTTTATTTTTGAAGTTTTTTTTATTTTTAAAGATTTTTTTATTTTTGGATTCTTTGTTTTTTTCGACACATGCATCTTTGGGACGACGCAAGTTAAGCTTATATATAGCCTTTAAAATGTCGTTGTAGAAAACAATAAGGTTTATTACGTAACATTATGATTAGATATTTAAATCTTGATATTCATTGGCTTATGTTTCATGGGGTTGGGTCTCATATCTCGCCATGTGCTCGTATCTTGTACGGACAACATGTAAATACGTATGAGGTTGTAATTATAACATTGCATTATTTTAAAATAAATAACTGTACACAAAGCAAGCATTTCATAGTTTTTATATGGAGCCCGATGGAATATCATGAAAATCATGAGTAAAAATTCGCTGTATCAGGTACGTGCGTTTTAAGTCGTAGACAGTTAACTGACTTAACTGGCAAGTGTCTTTAAAGATAGCGTGTTGGTGTTGTGTTATGACATTTATGTCATAACTCTGTTGACATTTGTTACCAAGCATAAGGTAAATTTTTATTATATTCGCTAGTAGCTACATATCCCTACAATTATTTTAAAGGTTTTTTAACTTGTTGCCTTATTCAAACAGTCTATAACTGTGCGGGTTCTCAGACAACACGCTTGTCACTGTTAAGCCCGTTTTTCACTACGGATAATTTTCCGCGCGGAGCGACATTTTGCATTGTCGGCATCGCTTGTCACGTCAGCAAAAGAAAAAAGCGATCGGCAATGCCCAACTGAATATTTAACCGAAATTCTTCATATTACACATTCGAACTTCGAACCAAAGTCAAGAGCGCAGCATTATAGGGTCAGGAGGCAAATATAACTAAACAAATGTTATGACGCAATTAAGAAAACTTTAATGCATGCACAAAACACCTAGTAATCCGACAAAAACCATGCTCTCACACATTGCCAAACACTAGTTGAGTTCATAATCGGTTCAACAATTAATTAAGCTTTATGTCTTGCGTATAAGCCGTAATTTTAGCTGCTTTGAATTGATTTCTGCACTATGTGATCAAGTTATAAATTCGTTTCGTAGCGATTGACATTCCACTAGGCGGAAAGCACCACTTAAAGATTAATATTGTCGGAGATTGCCTTACGTCTACGAGATTTCCCTTGATTTACATAAATTTTAATTTTGATTTTCTCGACTCACACAACGTATTTTTTTGACAATTACTTCACCAATGGACTTATTTTATCGATCGTTTTTGAAGCAATTTATAAGGAAGCTCCCTTATGTCCAGGGGCGAAACTAGCCCCTTTTAATTGGGGGAGTGTCTGCTAGAATTGCCCTGCGAAAGCCGATGATACCCTGCAGCAAAAAAATTTTTTGGCCACTATTTCTCCCAAAAATGTTGGCGAGTGTGGGGGAGGTCGACAGAAAATTTTTCGGACATAAACCAATTAAATTAAGAGTCAAAAAATTTTTTCGGACAAATTACTGTTAAAGCATGCATGAAATCCTTATTTTTTCACCAATATCTGTAAAATTTAGATCTATAAATTTTATTCAATTCCCTCTGGAAGCCCTGGAATCTACTTAATAACTCTACATTCTATCATTTAAAATCTTTCATTGCCCTGCCAATCCAGATGATTTGCCCTGCCAATCCAGAAGATTTGTACTTTGGGGGGTGTCACCCCCCCCCCCCCTCAAGTCTCGTCCCTGCTTATGTCAGTGTTTTAAACTAAAACCGATTCAATTAATTTGAATCGAAAAGAACCTATTTTTTTGCAAAAGCCATTGTTTCCTCTTACATAAGAGAGTGATCTTAACCCACAATCGGTACTCTTCACGCTAACTTGACAACATGACGTCACCACCTATGTGGCCTATATATATACCAACTGAAAAAGCCGTCTTAGCGGACAAATAATTAACCTTTTTTATTGTAGAAAATAAATTGTTACGAAGTTTTGAATCTTTTTTGAAGGTTTTTTGAAAATCGCCAGTGTAGTTTTCGAGAAACTGAATTTCAACCTTTTAGATTGCATTTTAGCCTTTGGAAAGGCTGAAATTCAATTTCTGGAAACGACACTGGCGGATTTTGAAATAACTTTCAGAAAAGATTCAAAACTTCATAACAATGTTTTTTCATATAAAAAAGGTAGGACGCCGTGGTTAATATAGGCCATATAGGTGGTGACGTCATGTTGTCATGGTAACGTGGAGAGTAGCGATTGTGGGTTAAAATTACTCTTTTATATAAGAGGAAACAATGGCTTGTGCAAAAAATTAGATTTTTTTAAAATAGGTTTTAGTTTAAAACACTGACATATATTTTAAACTGTAGGGAGCCTACGTGCTTGGTTTTAACAGATCTAAAGATTTTCGACTTCGCCTTGTATCTTTATATCTGACAAAACACTGCTGCTCATGTTTAAAACAGTACTTCAAAATTAAAACTCTGACCACCGGCACTGATCTGTATTGCACATAGGCTTCGCCTTGTATCTTTATATCTGACAAAACACTGCTGCTCATGTTTAAAACAGTACTTCAAAATTAAAACTCTGACCACCGGCACTGTTCTGTATTGCAGATATAAAGATGTTTGCATACTTAAATTAAATATGGCGCACTGGCACATGCATGTTTTGCGTAACAGTCGCTCACGTGAGCGTTATGTGTATTCGAAGTCTCAATCTGACTGTGTTCGCCGACGTCGATCGCGATGTCCATCAGGCAGAAAAAGTGCAAAGGATCGGAAATTGGTTAGATTACTTGTGTACAAGAAGAGATTGGAGGACGAAATACTGCGTGCGTAAATGGAGTCAGAAATTGGGAAATAGCGCGGAAAAAAATGAAGCGATTCTGTTGGGTGGTGGGCGTGGAAGACCAACAAAACAAATCTCTAAAGTATTCGATGTAAACAAGTTTCTGGCGATTGTTACTGAAAGAATGGAAATGGATTTTAAAAGCAAAAAAGAAATGTGGGAATCGATTGCACAAGAGTATTATGGAGCAATTAGAGTGGATAAAAAGAAAATAGACAAATTGCGATTAATTTGGAGAAGCAATGATTACAATGTCCAAGAAAAAAGACTCAAGATAAAGTCAAAGTTTCGACAGCAAACGGTCTCGAACGAAAGTTATATGCCTGGAATTTTATATCAGAAAGCCACTTCCGACAGTCCAGACACTGCTCACACTGAGAATGCTGTAAACAAAGCAGAGCGAAGTGGAAAAAATATTTCAATAAATTAAAGATGTAGCTCTGAATCTCATTCTGGCGAGTGTACGTTAACTGATTTCTTTGGAAATGTGTTTGGTCGCGCAGTATCCTATGCCTACAAAGATCACATGCGTGATAGCGTTTTCCCTTGTGGTGCGGAATCGGATAGTACTCATGAGCTTTGCGACACTAATGATAAGAATGTGGTTCCATCGTGCAAACCTTCTACCACATTAGCTGAGGAATCTGAATGTTCGGAACAAGAAAGTGACACGGAATTACTTTGTTCAAATGACTCTGAAGGATCTACAGATAACAGTCGAACTAATGTTGAAAAGCCAGATGACTATGTCTACGACGTTGCTATTGATCAATGTCAATGTTACAGTTCTTTAAAGGAAGATGAAAACGAAAACTTCTTTCGAACACCACATCTTCTGTCAACTGTCAACGCATTATCAAATAGCAATATTCCCTCTTCTGGTACATTTCAGGCAAAGCTAATACGATCAGTGTCCTATGTTAGAATGTCTTCCGAGTGGTTGAACATACCTGTAAAATCTGGGAAAGTAAGCGCGCGAACATCATTTACAGGGAACTACACGACTTTTTTTTACGAAATATTGAAGACTTTTAATCCGTTTTGCTGCTTCGTGTTTAAACGTAATTTCATCAAAAAGGAGAATTCTCGAAAAGGCAATAGTCCTTATTGGCGAGGAACAGTGGCATGTAAGCATCAAGACGTTGTTGCTCAGTTGACTATACAAGACCGTGATAAGAATATCCTCAAAATTGAATTCTTTGGCGACGTAAAGCATGATAACAAAGCCAAAAGCCGTAAAAACGGTTGGGGAGCGACATGCAACAGCAGTGCAAGAATACGAACAAAAAAAATGCTATGCCATCAAAATACCACAGGGATAAACTCGTTGAACTTTCATCCAAATCATTTCAAGCTGGCAACCGTACTGGCGTTGGTATATCGCATTCCACAATGAAAAACATCCGTGCTACGGCAAAAAAGAAAACACAAATCGACAAAAATTTGTTTACCGCTATTTCTTATCTTCAACAGTCCAAAGAACGAGAAGATGAAAAAAATGCCATGGAACTGGGACATATGTGGAGAAAGTTGTTTGGTTATATTCAACACTTCAATTTAACTAATAATATCAATTTAGTGCTGTTTAACGAAGCTTCCGTTCGACTTTACCACGAACTTGCCAATTACGACACTGTTTATATTGACGCCACTGGAAAGTTATTTTCGGACGAAGGCTTGCATGAACGCGGACGACTTTTATATTATGCAATGGTTATGCGACATCCATATCCAAAATTTCCTCCAATTCCCATTGTAGAGTACATTACGAGTGTCCACACCATCGACTCGATACGTTTAATGTTAAGAACTTTGAAGGAAAAGGAGAAAGAAGTGTTTCCAAATTTGTCTTTATATACTACGCCTGCACTAGTGATGGCCGATTTTAACATGGCAATAATAAACGCTTGTGTACGTGAGTTCACAGGCGAGACCGTTCAAGAATACTTGACACGTGGATATGATATAATCAATGGGGATGCGCGTAAAGAAGACGCTGAAAAAACAATATTCCATGTATGTGCGGCACATATGTTAAAGCTGAACAAATTTCACGCGCAAAAATTGCAAGAGAAAGGCAAGCAAGACAGTAGCCAAATTCATATTGCAAATCGTTTCTTTGGTCGATTGCTGTGCTGTTCAACACTTCAGGAGATGAGGAAGTTCGTGTCTCTCGGATATTACATTTTTCAAAGTAAATACGTAAACCCAACGTTAGAAACCTATCTGGACAAATTCTCACATGCAATCCATGAATTTTCGGACCCAATTGAGCTAGATATCGATGAAGATGATGATAATGACGACGCTGAGAGATTAACAGAAACACTGTCGACTCCAGATGAAGAGAATGTCTGGATTACGTATTGGAATGAACGGCTATCTGAAATGGGGAAGAATGAAGCAAATCATGGCGACCTTAACAAATACTTCATGCCAAAGTACTTTGCGTTTGTTTCTAAAAATTATTTACCAAGTTGCGTTTTGTGGTCCCGGCTTCTTTTGGGTGATTTGACGCGATTTAATGAGCAATACATAGCAAGAACAGCACTGAACAATTTTAATCCTAGACAGCGTAATTATCTTCGTGGCAACAACACGAACGGTCAAGTTGAAGACTTTATTGGTATAAAGAAAAACTGTTCATTCAAAGGAAGAAGAAACATGCGACTGGACACTTTTATTGTGGAGAATTGGAAAGACAATAAAGGACTACAAAGACAGTTCGTTGATGGCTTAATTCATTCGGATGAATCGTGTTCTTTAAATAACAGCTCAATTGGGAAAGTGTCACTTATCTGTGAAGATCCTAAAATGTCTCTAAGAAAGGAATCCATTTTGCCGGTAGAAGAAAGCTGCTCATCGAATGAAGAAAGTGATGTGCTAGAACCTGTCGAGGAATGGAACAAACCATCTACACAAATAAAGAGAAAACATAAGAAGGGTAAATATCTATCACCATCTCAAACAAAACTTAATTTCAAACCGGTGGCAGTGAAAGCAACAGCAAACGCTCGTGTCACCAAAAGGCTTGATTGCAGTAGTAAGGAGTTCAAAACATTTGAGCGGAAGGTGAGTTCTGACATCTGCAAGAAAAATAAGAGCTTCAAGACCGCAAAAAAAGAAGTAAAGAAAATGTGGAAAGGCTTGACCAATAAAGAACGGCAAAATTACTCGTCCACTAGTTCAAACAAGGCTGGTCATAGAAACCGTAAGATTTTGGCAACTACTCACACTGGACGGCATTGTATTTGCAGACAAGATATAGGAACGAACGAAAGTGTCAAATGCATTCTTTGCCAAGAAATTTTTCATTGTCGCTGTGTAAAATTCTGCCCAGTCTTAGCTAGTCTTGAAACATCAAATTATGTATGTGCTTCTTTTGTGAATATTCATTACGCAGAATTCCTTAAATATGTTTGGACTAAAGAAGATCAAACAGCTATTGATAACGATCTAATTATGCATGAACTGAGCATCGAATTTAATTTGAAAGAAGTAGGTTGCGCTACAAATTCATTGTCCGTCGAAAATAAGAACACAGATAGCTATAGTTTCACACATGATAACAAGATGGAAACGTTGACAATATTGCACTCCAGAGGAATGGAGAACAAAAAATCTAACTGTTGGTTGAACAGTATTTTACAATGCCTATTTGCCAGTCCATTTCATGGATTAATACACAAGGTACATAAAAGTTATACGGGAAAATCAATATTACTGGATGGGTTATATTCATGTTTTCAAGAAATGGCAAAAAATTCAAATGAAAAAGATAAAGCGCCATGTGTTTGGTATGTAAATGGTCCTCTTCATGTGGCAGCTAGCGTTGGAATGCTACCACAATTAAATTATCATCAGGATGTGAATGAATTTCTCAATTTCATATTAAACGAAATGTATAGTGAATTCAACCCGGTCCACTAACAACGCCTTGCTTCTCTTTTTCAATGGGACATGATTGGTCTTAACAGGTGCCTTGCTTCTGAATGTAATGTAATACGTGGGAGATCATTTACACCATGGAATTTACTGATTGATATTCCTGTGCATCGTCAAAGCATTGAACTGTCGTCTTTAATCAGGAAACTAACTTTTGGAAGGCTGTCGACGGAGGAGGACGATATTTGTCGCAATTGCGATTCGAAACCAGCTTCTCATTACATCGAGCTTTTTCATAATATCCCTCTTATATTAGTGATAACAATCAATCGGGCCAACTGGACCGGCAAAACAAGGGTAAAGATCACCACGCCCGTGTCGTGTGGGCAACAAATAAATCTCAGAGGTACAACAACAACCAACTACGACGAGGTCGATATAATTTATAGTCTACTTTCTGCTATTGTGCATTATGGTGCCAGTGCTAAGCAAGGACATTTTGTAAGTTATACATTCCACTCAGATCAAACGGCAACGCTTTATGATGACACGATTGTTAAACGGTGCAATACAAACGAAGTTCTTCAATCTCAAGAATTCCTACAAAATGTTTACATGTGTTTTTATACCAAAGGAGATCGCTGGCCTGAATCGCCTGATTTGATAAACTACACCGAGAAGAGGCGTGACATACCATGGTACATAAATGAAAGTGATGTTCGGCGGGTTGTCAAGATTTGGAGTTACCAAAAGAAGGTTGTGTGTAATGCTGTTACCCCATTTGATTTAAACACGGTGAAGCCGTTTAATTGGCTAAATGGGGATATTACAAACTCCTTTCTTACGAGTATATGCCAAGATAGTTGCGATAATGGTAGAAATGTTCATGCCTTTAACTCGCATCTCTATGACGCTTTAAGGAACAATTTTTCAAGAAGCGAACTGGTTCATGCATCGTTAGCAGTTGATCCAAAGGAATTTGATATTTTAATGTTTCCAGTAAATGTTGCAAGCTCTCACTGGACGCTTCTAGTGTTTTATCCAAATTCTCTATTAAATGCTGTGCTATTATGACTCCTACCATAACATCGATATATCTGCAAGCAACTCTCTTGCTGGTTTCATATCTACTTCGTATGAAATGCACGGGCATTCTGCTGATCTGGAAAACTGGTTAGTTCTTGCTTCTAACAAAATCCCCAAACAACATGATCTTTGTAGCTGCAGTGTTTACACCTGTATGACTGCGTTTTATTCAATAAATCCACGGGTACAAGTTCATTCTATGCACGATGTTAACAACATACGATATTGGATCGTTCATTGTCTGCACTGTTAATTTCAAGGAGTTATTTTAACTCCACCATAGGAGTTAAAACTACTCAACTCGGGAGAGTAAAAATAGTGGAGTAAAATCTACTCCCAAAATAGAGTTAAAAGCTACTCCACTTCGGCGGGCATTCCACAATTTACTCCATCAGGAGTCAATTTTACTCCGCTTGAGGAGTAAACTAAACTCGCGTTTAGGAGTAGAAATTATGGAGTAATTTGTACTCCCTAATTTTACTCCAGGGGTCGTTTCAACTCCCAAAAAAGAGTAAAATTGTTTTGGATCTGGAGTAAATTATTATAATATATAATTAATGTGCCTGAGAATCCAAGAGTTTTTCTGCTGGAGGCTATACTCTATTAAAGTATTGCGAGTCAGATGCGAAAAGCACGAAGTTCGTGATATAAAGTCTTTTTTTTAATTTTAGGTTTTTGGTTACTCGAATGTTGCCAAGTCAGATTGATGCCATTGATGTATTATACCGTATATCGGCTTCAATCGCACGCGGCGATCGAATGTAGCCAGAAATTGTCGGCGAGTCATCTATATTTTTTTATTTGCTGGCCTAAATCTGTAATTTGAACGTGTAGAATGTTCTGCTGCTGAATATAATTTGCGACAAGTGGAAGTTCCAGAGTTTTAACCAATTAGCATGCTTAGAATATATCACGTGTTGTAGTAATTCGATCTGGTTCACACAAAGACCAAGCGCCAAGTTCAATCCTTTGGGAGCAAACATTCAACGGGGAAGGATATTTATTCAAATTTTCTACATATAAAGTTCCAAAGACCTAATAAGATACATGGAATTTGTTTTCAAAGGTATGTTTATTGTGTATTTACTTATTTGTGTGCGGAAAGTTACTTGATATACTGTATAGTTATATTTTTAAATCGAAGACGAAGGCCTGTATTTTAGTCGCTTCGCCGCCGTTTTGCCGATCTAGACGTTCAGTTTTAATATTCGATTAATTTGTATTAGCAGAAGTCCATAAGTCTAATCTACTGTCTCTACTTATATGTGTTGTTAGCCCCGTTTACACGAGCAAATTTTATTTGACAAATTTCATTTCATCAAAATCAAATGCATTTGTCACAATAAATTTGACACAAATTTATCATCTACACGAGCAAAATATCTCTGACATATGAAATTTGTCAAATAAAATTTGCTCGTGTAAACGGGACTTTATTTGTGTGATATACATGTATGTTGTATTTCGTGTTAAATATGTATACTTTAATATATATGTGATCTGTTTGAAATGCAGTCACATTTGACAGCATTGCAATAGCTCATCTAATATTACCCAGTGTATGGCATGTGCTTGCTATGGTAGCCCTCCTATCGGGTATCAGTCAGCCTAAAACATGTGTAAGGGGCTGCTTATATAGAGGCGAGCCACCCAGGTAACCTGGCTATAGCTCGCTTTCCCTGGATGAATGTCTGGTTACATGAGCCTCTTTAGATGGACAGGCTTGCCAAAACAAATCACCCAGACTGAGTTATACAGTAGAAGCACATTTCCCAATAATGTGAAACAACAAGTGATCAATCACTCATACTTTTGCAGACAGTCTCGTGCACTTTTTACATGAGCCTCCGGCTCGGATGATTGGGTAACCGCATCCTGTGTATACGACTCTATATAAATCATTACTTTACATTACATGTATAAACTGACAAAAACAATCACAGAAATCTTTTTACCCAGGGCCCAGGGGTAATACTGTGCCAAATCGTTGGTGATTGTATATAATTTATATGGAAAATCCTAGCTTGGCATTAGCAACATTTTGGGACAATGAATTTGGGTCAATTATGCACCTCTATTTTAAACACCCTTTACCAGAAAAGTTGTATTCATTTGGATGATGTTAGTTCAATTTCATGCTTACATTAAATGAGTAAAAGCATTTGAATTTTGTATTTCTTGCTTCGTATATGCAAACAACCAAAAATAGCAAATGTATTGTCAATCAATCAATAATTTTTATTTTGTGTGTGTTGGTGTCATGTACTCAGGTGAATATATGATGTTTGTGATGTTTCTGCATGTGAGTGTGCATCCACACCGGGAAAGCTGAAAAGTTAGCTTGGCCACAGTGGGAATCGAACCTGTGACCGTGGCCAAGCTAACTTTTCAGCTTGCCCAGTGTGGATGCACACTCAATGAGAGTAACATCACAAACATCATATATTCACCTGAGTACATGACACCAACACACAAAATAATCGTATCATTGAATACACCTGTTCACTGATATCGAAGGAACTAGACTCAGTTGCAAAATATCATTAGCTCGAACAGACTTGACCAATGTAGCTCAGTTGACAGAGCATTGGACTATCCCAAAGGCCGCAGGTTCGATTCCCACCGTGGCCAAACTAACTTTTCAGCTTGCCCGGTGTGGATGCACACTCAGAGTAACATCACAAACATCAATCAATAATTTGCTGCTGTTATATATCAAGTACCTTATATATTTTTTTCTTACTAGGGATTGTCATTAATATATGGATTTAACAAAAGCTTCCCAGGAGAAGACAAGTTGCCTAAACAAGTGGTATTATATGTAATCATTAATGGCATTCTAAGAACTTCATGGTCTATTTGGAAAATGTTGTTCTTTTGCTGGAGAGCATTCTTGTGAATTACCAAACCATGCAAGGGATGGAGTTGCCGATTTGTGGTATACAGCTTGTTTTGTACTAAATTTTTACTAATGGACTTGCTTGACATGTTTGATTGAGCAGTGACACTACATACATTTAATACATGCAGTATATTTTACTTGTAAATATTCTACATTGAACAGAATATTAACCCTTTAAGTGGCAATGTTTTTTCTGTCTAATGTGGTCAGACAATTTTTGCTCATTAAGGAGAGAGTGCTGCCACTTAATGGGTTAAAGGTTTTCTGTAAATGTAAATTTTTTGAACGATAACTATGTAATAGCCGGTACTGTGCTGGGAATGGAACCTGCTGCCCTGTGATTCTGATCAGCTTTTAACCGTCAAGGGTCCTCAAGCCCTAAGAGTCCATCGACCTGAGAGTCACTTTGAAAGCTCTACTGTAACCGAGAGTTCATGTATATAATACTAGTGTCATCCTGGGCAGTTTATTTAATACACTACCAATGACACCACCATGGTATATAGCAACTTGTGGTTACCTCTTGGCAAAAGGGCTCTTTATGTCAGAGGGCTGTGGTAGAATTGCAGGGCTGCAGGTTCAATTCATGCTGACAGGCTTGTAATTGTATTCCGCATGTGTATTCATGATATCATTCTAATCAAAATTTCATTTTAGAACTTCATTATATATTATAGGGTGTAAGAGTATATCATTATATTATGCTACAGCAAATTGTATTTCCTGCTATAATATACCTTACTTTTGGGGATAATAAATTATTTTGGCTCGAAAAATGTCTTTATTGATTTCTAAAGTTAGTTAAAGACTTTTCTTTACTCCGATATATAGAAGTCATTTTGTCTCCAAAGGAGTCGAATTGACTCCAAAAGTGGAGTAAATAAAAAAGGTACAGAACGACTCCTTTTTTGGAGTAAATTTTACTCCTTTATTTACTCCATTTTTAGTGTAAATTTTACTCCTTAAGTAGAGTTGTTTTTACTCTTTGAGGAGTAAAAACAACTTTACTTATGGAGTAAAATTTACACCAAAAATGGAGTAAATAAAGGAGTAAAATTTACTCCAAAAAAGGAGTCGTTATGTACCTTTTTTATTTATTCCACTTTTGGAGTCAATTTGACTCCTCGAAATTAACAGTGTGTTGACAGCAAGAGATCCAAAACGTGTTAAAACAAACAATGGAAACGTTGTTGCGAAAATAAGTTGTGCCAAATTCATCAAGTAGAGGATTTTAATTGATTTACCAGAAGATTCCGACTTTTCCAATGTTTTTTTAAACATCGCGAAACTTGTTGATAAACGACGGCCAATGACGCAGGACAAGGATAATTCGAAGACTTTGCACTTCGCAGGTATTTCTTGAGCAGATTAACTACAAGGTGTATTACTATAAAGAATATATCACATTACCGTGTGAACAATGTATTATTGTTCACCCTATAATATTTGATAAGGAGAAAATGTTCTCGAGTGAGATATATTATAATTTCAAGATTTACTAATAATATAATATATAATATAATATAATATAATATAATATAATATAATATAATATAATATAATATAATATAATATAATATAATATAATATAATATAATATAATATAATATAATATAATATAATATAATATAATATAATATAATAATATAATATAATATAATATAATATAATATAATATAATATAATATAATATAATATAATATAATATAATATAATATAATATAATATAATATAATATAATATAATATAATATAATATAATATAATTATGTATAATTTATAATATAATATAATATATTATAATATAGCATTTGTAAATTCTGAACGCTGATTGGCTAAGAACCGTGTTGATATAACTCAATGTCAACACGGGAAATTTTCCGCCGCTTGGAAACACGGAAATTTTTCTTATCCTTCGGGCTTTTGATATTGCTATATTATAAAAAAATATATAAAACATTTTTCGCGTATTGATATATAGTTATATCAACACTCGTGGAAGTTGGGAAAACTCGAAATTGTATGAAAACACTCCGCCCTTCGGGCGTCGTGTTTCCATAAAATTTCTCGTTTTCCCAATTCCACTCGTGTTGATATAACTGTATATCAACACGGAAAATGTTTTATATTTGTTAAATATAATATAATATAATATAATATAATATAATATAATATAATATAATATAATATAATATGATATAATATAATATAATATAATATAATATAATATAATATAATATAATATAATGTAATTAATGTAATGTAATGTAATGTAATGTAATGTAATGTAATGTAATGTAATGAAATGTAATGTAATGTAATGTAATGTAATGTAATGTAATGTAACGTAACGTAACGTTATACAGCATTTGTAAATTCTGAACACTGATTGGCTAAGAGCCATGTTGATATAACTCATTGTCAACACGGAAACGTAATTATACTAAAATACATTAATAATTTTTGTGATGTTACTCTGAGTGTATATCCACACAGGGCGTAAAGAAGAAAGACTCATAAATATTACACGAACGATAAAACAGTATAATGTTTTTACAGAGCAATTCGTATACTCGAAGTACAAGCAGTCACGTGAGTGACTAGCGATAAAACGGAAGTTCTGACGTTTATTATAATGTCAATATACATGTTAGCCTAAACAATATCAATATGCCATATATAGCGCAGAGTAACATCACAAACATCATATTCACCTGAGTACACAACACCAACACAGAAAAAAAACACATTAATAATTATTTATAGATAGGTATTATGTATTATTTATTTCGTTTATAAACTAGATATAAGCTCTAAGCAAGAAAAGACTACACCAAGGCAAGAGCCAAGACTTCCCAACAAAAAGGAGCAAACTTCTAAGGTATTGTGTTTTTGATGTTACTGTGAGTGTCTATATCCACACTGGGCAGGCTGAAAAGTTAGTCTGACCACGGTCGGAATCGAACCCGCGATTTTCATGTTAAAAAACAAAGTAATACGAAACCAAAATCAATCATTGCACTACCTGTGTCTATTTACATATACTATATATCATGTGATATATTTTTAAGACTCATTGACACTGCAAAGAAAATCTATCATGATGAAACCTAAAAGTAGAAAGACATTAATTGCATGCAGTAATCCGACATGCAGACACGGTCAATTATATACTCTATTATACTTGAAGGTTTACACAAACACACAGATACCACCATGCAGTGATACTGACGATGGCAGTGATGATTTCACTGATGACGCAGAGACAGTTCACAGGACCCGCAAATTTGTTGTGTCAACACTCCCTTTAAGTCCAAGTGCTGGATGTGAAAACAAAGAGAAATCACGATCGCCTTCCGGTATGTTTTTGACATAGGCATACGGGAAGGGCAGCCCTCCCAATCAAAATGAAGTCGGGCACGCTATAAACGTAAGTAGGGAAAAATGAGGAGAAACAACCTTAAAAAAGGACATATGAAATATAGCATTTGAAAATACAAAAATAATGAAAAACTAACGAGGAATTTTAACAGACTATGGTATTTTTTTTTGTTGATACCCCTCCATCCGCGCCGACAAAAATTTTGGAAAGTTTACGACTGGACACTTTTTTCAGTAAGTTGGGCACAATGGGGAAAAATCGGGTAAATTTTCTCCCCCCCCCCTTCTAATTTTTCCCCTGCCGTACGCCCATGTTTTTTTTTGTACTTAGATAAGCTTGAAATCGCCAATATTTGCATAATTTGTGTTTGTCTCGATGTGAAGAAAACAAAATGGATAATGACGTGATGTCTTGCCTTTTCTAACTGCATATTTAATTATCTGTGATGGGGCAATTGCCCTTTTCTCAGGAATCGACGTACTCACAAATATCGTTCGAAAATTCACTATCAATTAATAATAGTCATTATAGTCACAATCAGTATTTGAATGGCACGATTTTCTTAGTCGATTTGGATGGTTAATAGCACTAAAAATGACGTATATGTGGTGAAATGCCCATCATACTTGTAAGTTAACCTTTGTCCTAAAGTAGGGAAAAGACTGTCCAATCGTATTTGTTGCTGAAATGTTTTCTGTCTACTTAATGGAAGTTTTCAAACGATGTAGGTAATTTTTGTCAGCTACTGAAGTGAATTTTGGGTGAGGTGAGTTATTTATTAATGGAGATGATGTAATTGCCATGACAAGATTTAACATTCCTTCACATATGGTGCTTATAACCAATATTAAAATGTTTCTTAATAACATATCCGCCCGCAACAAAGTAACAGTAATATTAGAAAAACGTGAAACGGTATAGGCCCGGATCTTTATTTGCGCGGATTACTTCATGAAGGCAGTTGCTAACAGATTGCTAATTAAGTTACTTGTTTGTGTAAATAGACGCAATAAAGACTCATAGAAATTAAGAAAATAACATTAATTAATTAAATAAAATGCAAACTTATAGAATATAGTACGAGTAAATTATTCTCATTTAGTTGTAAACAAAACAGCCGAGGAAGAAATAAAAGACATGCAGACATGCGACACTGAAACGTTTAACTTACGACCTAGAAAAAACATTAAGGTATGTTCAAAATCGGGATAATTTGAATTTATTTATTACATTACATGATTTCTTTGTTATTGATAGAGCATAATTTAAAGGCACAGTTCAACCTTTTGAAAGATGGTTTTTAAGGTGCGTTTCAGCTCTTTTAATTGAAAAAACCGTGAACTAGGAAAATGAATTAAGCATAATTCAAGATCAGCAAACTCAACGTTTTTAACAATAAAAATGTTTTAAAATGTTAAAAACATTGAGTTTGTTGACCTGAATTATGCTTAATTGATTTTCCGGTTAGTTTTTTCAATTAAAAGGGCTGAAATGTGCCTTAAAATACATCATTCAAAAGGCTGAACTGTGCCTTTAAAGAAATAACAGTTGCCCCTAGTTTTATTCAAATATGCAGAGTTGCTAGTATGCATGACACTATAGTGATTGTCCAATTTAGTAATTATGTCGGCTTAATTAACTGATAAAAATATTATCGTTGTTATTTTAACAGAAAAGGTATAGATCGAGTACGTACGAGCTTGGTTCTCCCGATCTTTTAAGCGACACTGATAATGACGTCGTTCATAGAAAAAAGGCAAAAAAGGCAATGAAAACAAACGACAAATGCTGCTCTTGCCAAATAGGGAGAGATCACAAGAATAAATGGACATATACGAAAATATCTGAGAATTCCTGCGATTACGAACCTATAATTGTCAAAACAAGGAATCCTTCTACTGCTGTTCAGTTGTGGCACATTGATACTTGTGGACACGAACAGTCGCGTTCTATAAAGAACACTACCTCACGAGCTTTAACCTGGAGAAAACTGCCCAAACATCAAAAGCAGGTACAGTTCAATTCATTATTTTTTCTATAGTCAGTCTACTTTTCCCATCTTTTCATACGCCATGTTATTCGGTATAGCTATATGCATTATAAAATTATTATTATTATTATTATTATTATTATTATTATTATTATTATTATTATTATTATTATTATTATTATTATTATTATTATTATTATTATTATTATTATTATTATTATTATTATTATTAAATGATGACTATTGCTATTAGAACTACATATTACATTTTCTGTTGCCGAAATAAGGAATGGGAAAATCCGGATTTACTAACAATTTGACTTATCTCATTGTATATATATATATATTGCATGCACTTTGTTCTGTTATTTTAGTTTAGTATAATTGTGATTCAAATAGCCAACCGTAAGTTACCTTTTTGAGAGAGATTTACGATTGTATATGTATGTAAAGAAAAACATTTAATAAAGTTTCCATTATTATTATTATTATATTATTATTATTATTATTATTATTATTATTATTATTATTATTATTATTATTATTATTATTATTATTATTATTATTATTATTATTATTATTATTATTATTATTATTATTATTATTATTATTATTATTATTATTATTATTATTATTGTTATTATTATTATTATTATTATTATTATTATTATTATTGCATGTTTTTCACAGCTTTGTTCTTATGCTGGCTATGTTTTTTCCTTGGAAGCTGGCTACAACCAATAGCCTCAGGTCCTAAAGATTTTAGCTTTCCAAGCTTCGTCTTAGTATTCTTGCCGTCCCTAAAAATGCTGTTTTTTGTAGAAGTTCTATTCTTATATGTATTCCCAATTTCTCAATCCACTTATCCAGTTTATTACTAACTGCTCCTAAGGCACCTACTACTATTGGAATGACTTCTACTTTTTTCATTGCCCATATTTTCCGAATTTCCCTTTTCAACTCCTCATACTTTTCTACATTCTCTGTTTCTTTTATACCAATTCTACAGTCCCCTGGAACTGCGATGTCGATGATCTTGCATTCCTTTTCCTTCTTTAAAACCACTACAATATCAGGTCTTCGACATTCAATCACATGATCGCACTGTATGTTAAAATCCCAGAGAATCTTTACATTATCTGATTCAATTACTCCGTTTGGTTGGTGTTCATACCATTCTTCAGCTTTCTCTAGTTGGTACAAACCACATAGCTTCCAGTGTACAATGCGAGCCACATTGTCATGTCTTCGTTTGTACTCTTTTTGTGCTAGCTTCTTGCATTCACTTATCAAGTGTGTTATATGCTCTTCCTTTTCCCCACAAAGTCTACAGAGTGGAGATTCAACAGTTCTATCTATGTGAAACTTTACATAATTTGTCCTTAGAGCTTGTTCTTGTGCAGCACAAAGAAGTGCTTCAGTCTCAGGTTTCAAGTCTCCTTTCTTCAGCCACCACCATGTCTTCTCCCTATCCACTTCTTTACCTAAATCTCTGTTATATTGTCCATACATTTTCTTGTCAATCCAGGCTTTCTCTAGCTCCTATACTGCTTTCTTCTTAAAATTTTCTTTTGTTTCGCATCTTTCCGTTTCAATCACACCTGCTTTGCAACTTGTTTTAAAAGTGGTTCCACACTGTTCTTTACATACCATCCCAAACTGTTCTCCTCTGTACGAATGCATCCTTCACAACTGATCAAACCTCTTCCGTCCTTTTCCCTCGGTAAATATAATCGATGAATGTCACTTCTTGGGTGAAGAGCACAATACAGTGTCATCAGTTTACGTATTTTGCGATCCATTGCAGCAATTTCATCTTTTGTCCATTTCAAAACACCAGCTCCCTACCTCAGCAGCGAAACAGCCCAAGTATTCATCGCCATGATTTTGTTTCTGCCATTCAGTTTTGATTTCAGCACCAGTCTTAATCTCCTCCCGTATTCCTTTACAAACTTTCTCTTCATTTCACCCTCCATAATTTTATCTAATTAATTCCAGTATACCAGGATATTTATATCCATCTTCTTCTACGGACTTTATTGTTTCCGCATCAGGTAGCTGTATTCCATTACATTCCACAATCTTTACTCTCTTCGTTACAAGCATTCCACATTTTTTATCCCAAATTCCATTCCAATGTCTTTGCTAACAATATGGACTGTTTTCATAACAATATGGACAGTTTTATTATTATTATTATACGTTGAGCGTAAAAAATCAAAATATAAAGAATTAATTAGGGAACAAACTGAACATTTCAACTCAGTAAAATTTGTAAATCTTTCGATTAGTTCTCGTGGTGTTTTCAGTAAAGAATGTTCTACTTTCATAGAAATGCTTAATGATTTTGGTTTTCAAAAGCAACATCAGAATTACTGTACTAGAAGAATGACGACGATTGCAATCCGAACAACGTATTATATATTTGTTGTCGAAACAAGGAATGGACGAATCCGGAACTGTTAACTGTTTAAATGATGTTTTGTCATTTTTGTTATCTTAATAGTATAATTTTTGTATGTATAATCAGTGATTTAAGTAGCCAGTTGTAAATTACCTGATATAAGTGAGATTTGCAATTGTATATATAAGCTAAATATCCATTTAATAAAGTTTTCATTATTATTATTACAAATAAATTTTGCACAGGTGTTTCCACCTTCAACTATCGTGGTTCTAAATAAGTCCTTTGAATGAATTTAGTGAAAGACTTCCATAATTGTCAACAATTTCACTAGGAAGATTATTCCATGACGTTGCTCCGCAATGTGAGAAACTGTGTTTCAGAAAGTTAGTATTTGTAGTATGTTTAGGTAGGTTAAGTTTCCTGTTATTGCTTCGCAGTGCATATCTGTTAAGCCTATTATTATGGCATGTACCAAAGAATTCAGTTAAATATGCCGGTGCCAATCCTCTAATTGCCTTAAATGTCATGCATTCATCGCGTTTTTTCAAGATATGTCCAACCGGTTGCCATTGTAGTTTTTTTAAAATCTCTTCACTTCTAATATCAAAGTTTGTATTTAATTTGTGATGATCTATGCGGCTCTTTTTTGTAATTTTTGTACTATTAGAAATTTCTTGGACTATTAGATATTAAAGGTGCCCTATCTTGAATCACCTATTAAAAATGGCAGCATTTCAAAAACTATTATGGCTATTTATATTATTATTTAGTATTGGAACTCGATGTCAAGTGATGAAAATTCCGGCTTCCACCTTCGTTGGAATTCATTTTGGGAAGAACAATTTCCAGATGAATGGCTGCTTTTTATTCGGAAAATGAAAAACTCTATTCAGTTGGAACTACGGAGTGCGTTAGAACGGGGGATTCAATCGACACCTCAACATGTAACGGCTTCATACGTAAATTTTTTAGAACACTACAGCAAATACTGTAAGGATTGGAAGGAATGCCCACCAGAAGACTACATGGAGAAATGTTTTCTGTTGTTAAATGAAGAATGTTTTTTTGAAGAATTAACAGAAAATAAATTGAATGCAGGGAACTATATACCATCCTGGGTTTATAATATAATGATGAAACTTTTATTCAGTACAATGGCACAATACCGTAAATCTAAAGATCCTTTAACCTTATTACAACTATGTAGAAGAACCTTACAGCATGGACAACATCAAGAAGTACTAGCTGGACTTCGATTTTACTTCGAAAAAATCAAAGACCCTTATTTGCGAAGAAAACTATTTAATACAAAGCTGATTAATTCAGCAGATTAAGCACAAGGTATATGCATGGATATACGTCTGAGATGCTTCGCCGACGATCGTGAAAAATGTGAATATCGGATTTGCAACTTTATTTTAATTTACGTGAACAAGTCAATTATAAAGCTCAGCAATATACTGGTATTGAGCACTACTACATACCACTATTATATACTGCTATTCATATATATATATATATATATATATATATATATATATATATATATATATATATATATATATATATATATATTTATAAGTAATAGCATGGCATTCAGGGCGATGAGTGATTAAATGTACCCGAAAGCCGAGAGAGGTTTAGTTACTAAACCTCTCGAGGCTTGAGGGACATTTCATCACTAATCGACCATAATGCCATGCTACACTGTAAAAACTGATTGGTCGAAATGACCAAAAAAAATTGGTCACCTGGATGCATCTGAGAGAACCAATTAAAAATGGTCGTTTTAACCAATAAAATTAACCGTTAATTAATTGGTCATTTCAACCAATAATAATTGGTTAATATAACCAAATAATTTTGGTTGTTTTGACCAATTACTAAAATGGTTAATTTTATTGGTTAAAACGACCATTTTTAATTGGTTCTCTCAGATGCATCCAGGTGACCAATTTTTTTTGGTCATTTCGACCAATTTTTTTTGGTCATTTCGACCAATTTAATGTCACAACCTATACACTGCATTAAAATGAAGAAAATTTGTGAGTCTTACATCACTGAACATGTATACATGGAATTTAATAAAAAATCTATCAATACAATATAATAAGACAATTAAATAAACTAGAGCTACCGGTACCTTAGAACTATGTGAGAGCAATTGCAAAGGAATACAATTACATCTGCTGTGCTGAGTGGTTATATTACTACCTGAAAAAAAAAACAAGCAGAAACTCAACATTTCGAGCGAAGGGTCTTTGCTCAAAACGTTGAGTTTCTGGGGTTTTTTTTCAGATAGTAATATAACCACTCAGCACAGCAATTTCACATTAGTACTACCCACACTGGTACTGGTACAGACAATTTTAATACAATTACAAGCCTGCCAGCATGAATTGAACCTGCAGCCCTGAAATTCTACTGCAGCCCTCTGACTTAAACAGTCCTTTTGCCAAGATGCAACCATAACTTTCTGTATAATTATACCATGATGGTGGTGTCACTGGTAGTATATTAAATAAACTGGGATGACACTAGTATTGTATAAATGATCTATTGGTTAGCTTGATGGATTCTTGGCGCTTGGACTCTCAGGGCTTGATGGACTCTCGGCTGTTAAGGAACTGTTCAGAATCACAGGGCAACAGGTTCCATTCCGGCACAGTACTTATTACATAGTTATTGTTCAAAATTTCCATCTATAGAAATTTGGCTTTAACCCATTGAGTGGCAACACTCTCCCCTTCATGAGTAAAATTGTCTGGCATTAGACAGAAAAAATAATAAGGTAGAGCCCATTGCCACATAAAAGGTTAACATTCTCTTCAATGTAGAATATTTACAAGTTAGTATAATATACCTGTACTGCATGTAGTGTTGTCACTGCTCAATCAAGCATGTCATACAAGTCCATTAGTTAAAATTTAAAAGTACAAGCTTCATACCACAAGTCAGCAACTCCATTCCTTGTCAGGTTTGTTAATCCATAAACGTACTCTCCAGCAAAAGAATAACATTTTCCAAATAGACTAATATGCAGTACTTAAAATGCCATTAATGATTATATATATTGCCACTTGTTTAGACAACTTGCCTTCTGCTGGGAAGCTTTTATTAATAACTTTTCATTCAGGATCAGGATATATAATGAATCCATATTAAATACAATCTCTATTAAGAAAAAAATACATATTAAGGTTGATATACAGGTATAATGGTAGCAAATTATTGATTGATTGACAATGAATTTCCTATTTTTGGTTAGTGTACAAAGCAAGAAATACAAAATTCAAATGCTTTCACTTGACATGTTTAATGTAAGGCTAGCATGCAATTGAAGTAACATCTGCATCCAATACAACTATTCTCACTGGTAAAAGACTGTTTAAAATACTGGTGCATAACAACTGTTTTTTCAAAAATTCCTAATTGAAAAATGTCATTCTATATAATCCAGCAAGGTAGATTTAGTGGCTGTTTATATGAGGTGATGGCACCTGTGTACCTGAGCTGGCCCAGTTTTGGTGAGATCCAGACTTTATTATATTCCATATATTTCAACTTGTGTTTTACTTTATAATATAGAACTGAGCTGGACTTTTTTAGGAAGATGGGGGACTTTGGTGGCAAAGCTGTTATATGCACTTGCCGTTCACCTCTAAGGCTGCAGGTTCAAGCCTCAGTGAGAACTTTCTCAATGCGACTCAAACCCAGTCCTCATGTGAAGAGTAAAAGTCAACACTCTGTCGAAAGTCATGGGTTTTCTCCAGGTACCCCGGTTTCCTCCTACAGGGAAATTTGACAGGGTGGGTGATGTAAAAGAGCCAACAGTAATTGGCACATGCTGTTGTGGTGACACCTAGTTGGCAAAGCTAAATAAATAAACTTAAGATACTGCCACAATTGACCCAAAATGTTGCTAATGCCAAACTAAGATTTTCCATATAAACTATATACAATGACCCGGGATTTGGCACAGTATTCATGCTTTGTTTAGGCATAATGTAATCTTCTAATTGACATTTAAATAATCTTCTAATTGACATTTAAATATCTAATTGACGAGTAAAATAATTTGGTCAGAGGTGTAACTTAACACTTGCCTGGGGCAAGTGAATATCATGATGGGCAAGTAAACACTTTATCTTGCTGCCCGATTGGGCAAGTTGCCTTGCCACTATTCATTGTCAGATATATTTTGTTTTATAGTACATGGACTTGGTTCAAATTTCGTTTTTTGTGCACCAAAGCTATACCTGAGGCAGTATAAGTGTATAACATAGTCATATAGCGCAGTTGGAGAACAGGTTGACATGTTGTCCCCTTAATTTATACCCCCCACTTAGGTACCCCAAGCAGCCATTGTCTGATGGCAAGTGAATTTTATTCAGAGCAACTAATCTTTATGACCAACTTGCCCTGAGGGCAAGTGGTCAAAAAAGTAAAGTTACACCACTGCTGGCGGTAGACAAGTAAATAAAATAAGTCGGTCGCACTAGGGCACATTGCGGCTCAATGGGTTAACTAGAGACATTGTCAGATTTTTTGGTTAACCCATTAAGCTGCAGAGCTTCCCTACTGAGGAGTAAAAGCGTCTGGCATTAAGCAAGCAAAAAAAATAAGTAGGGCATACTGGGACGCATTGTGGCTCAATGGATTAAAAGACCTCTGTGATTTTTTTTGTAAGTTACATTTCAAAACTGTCTGCAAAAGTATGTCAATTTATTTTATTGGATATTATACAACTCAGTCTGGGTGATTTGTTTTGGCAAGCATGTTCATCTAAAGAGGCTCATGTAAACAGACATTCATCCAGTGAAAGCGGGCTATAACCAGGTTAGTTACCTGGACTGGCTTGCCTTTATATAAGCGGCCCCTTCAGAGCTTCCACTCGGAAGGAAATTTCCTTCCAAAAGGATATTTTGGCATTTGGAAGGAAAAATAAAAGGAAATAAGATTTGGAAGGAAATTGGAAGGAAATTCGGACATTTTGAAGGAAAAGGGAAGGAAATTTTACAATTTAAACCTTTTCAGTAATTTCTAGTAATTTAATAATGGTTAAACACTTTATTATGAACTTTTCAGTTCAAAAACATTTATAAAAACAATACTTTGGATATTTGCATAACCATCAAGGATGAATGGGGGTAATTTGGGACTTAACAGGTCTTCCGTGAATGAGTAGAGTATTTGTATATAAATAACGGGGGCTCGATTTTTTCGCGGGTTTTAAATTTTTATAACCCAAAATTAAAAACAAACAGTCGGAAATAGGGAAACTGTAATTTCTAAGCCAAAAAAAGTAATTTATAAATTATGATGGCTCATATTTAGTTATTGAGTCGGCATCAAGTAGTTTTCAAATGTAAACGGAGTAGAAAGCGTGCAGGAATAGGGTCTGGTCCAAAAGCAAATTCATAAAAAAGTCGTTTTACTATGTCGTTCACTCGTTCGAGAAAACAGACAAAAAAATAGACAACAGAACATGTTGTTTCAGGTTAAATTAGAATTTCACTATTTGAATACTGCAGTACACCTTCAATTTACATTGGAATAAAGTACAATACAAAATTTACTATACTATTTTAAACTGAGATTGGAAGGAAAAATGGAAGGAAATTTAGGATTTTGGGAAGGAAATTTTGCGAAAAAAAGGACAAAAACGAAAAATTTTGCTTTGCCAAAGTGGAAGCACTGGGCCCCTTGCACATGTTTTAGGCTGAGTGGCTGACTGATAGAGCCACACATTGGGAAAGGCTGTCTACATGCTATTAATGTGAATATAATTATACTAAAACTGTCTTTACCAGTGTGGGTAGTACCAATGTAAAAATTCTACCTTAAAAAACAACTCGAGTCGACGTTTCGAAATTTATGAAGGCCCTTCGTCAATAGTGTAATTATGCATATTTCAAACAAATCACATTATTAGAAAAGTATACATGTCAAGTGTCAACATAGCAAATACTTAAACAGAACAACACATATATGTATATCACAGAAATAAGCCGTATACGATTTTCTTAACAATACAGATAAGTAGAGACTGTTATGTAAATCGAAATTTACATCTGAACGTTTAGATGCCTTCGTAAAATCGGCACAGAGCGACTATAAAATACAGGCCTTCGATTTAAAAATATAACTACACAGTCTGTCAAGTAACTAACCCGCATACAAATAAGTAAATACACAAGAGGCATACCTTTGAAAACAATCTCCTTGTGTTCTATTAAGTCTTTCGATCTTTATAAGCAGAAAATTTGAATATAAATCTTTCCTGTTTGAATGTTTGCTCCCAAAAGATCGAACTTAGCGCGCTGGTGTGAAAAGATTGAATTACTA